TTATCATAATATGTTAAATATTTATGACAATAATTTCTATTGGTGAGAAAGACAGAAAAAGGATATCGAAAATGTTCTTATTCATATGTTGCCTGAAATATTTATTATTTTGAATTTTTTTTGTGTTTTAAATTTAATCCAAAAAATGTACGATTATCGAAACCTTTTAGAAGTTATACGAGGTGTGTTCAAAAAGTAAGGTGACTTTTCAAATTTCAAATTTTTCAAATTTTTCGATTATCTTCAGTTTTGGGAACAAGAAAAAGTCACATGGGGCCAAATCCGGTGAATATGGTGGCTGAGGCATTATTGTGGTGTTGTTTTTGGCCAAAAAATCCAAATCCTTTGATCCATATTTTTCGATAGCAAAAAATCGCCGAGCTCGCAAAACAACTTGTAACTTTACGCCTCTCACAACCAAATAAAAGAGGATGTTCCATTGAAACTTGGTACAGATGTTAGGGAAGAGTGTACCAATATAACAAAACAAAAAAATCGATAATCGAAAAATTTGAAATTCGCGAAATTTGAAGAGTCACCTTACTTTTTGAACACACCTCGTATTTACGTTTACTTTGACATATTGTGAACTTAAGCTACCTTATTATAGGTAGGTTATATTTTAAGAAGACCGCATTTATCAAATGTATTTGAGGTGACCCAAACTAAAATTGGACACGCTTGGTTGATTTATCCAAAAGAAGAGGCAAGCGCCTATTGGATTATTATTATGTTGCTCAGGTGATTTAGGGTCGGTTTCTTAAGATTACGTCTAAAGTGTCTTGGCTGTTGTATTTTTAAGGAAAATGTAAGGAAATGTTCTGAAAGGTACATAAACTTTATGTGTACAGTTCAAGTGCCTTTATAATCTTAGAAAATGTAAGTTGGTTATCTTAAGGGCTATGAAAGTTCTGTGTATTTTATAATCTGAAAAATTAAATGGTTTTTTATTAGAATTAGTACTTCATTAGTGTTTTCCAAGAATCATATATTTGCTCAGACTTTAGATAGTATTTTTCTAATGCCCCTTATTCTAAGTACAGCTTCTTAGAATTTAAATTTAGCCAGAAATTTCTTCAAGGAGATTACGTAGAAACCCCTTGAAAAAAGTTAGGCAAGTGCTTTTGATATATTTCAAAACACAATTCAAGCGCAAATAGATTGCCGAAAATTACAATACGCTCTGGGAAGTTGCCCTTCCAGCAGACGCAGTAACTGTAATTTTCATTACCTTGCCATGTGTTTGACTTGTGGGCCTGTGTGCATTTTGTGGCACACTTTTTGGCCAAGGCATCGAGCCTGGCCGAGCTGAGCTGGGCTCAGTCAGTGGCAGACATTGCAATGGCCTCGCAAGGAAGCACTTGGGCACCAGTTAAGGCAAACATCCTGTCCCCCATCCTAATCCACCACCTCCCAGCTCCCCTTTTTGGCCAGAGAAACCACCCAACCCTCTTGGTGGGTGCTAATGCACTTGCACTCAGTGCAAGCACATAATTCGCTGCCCTCGAGCACACATGCGAGAGCAGCCGACACTCGAGAGCCGCCACAAGTACAGTACGACCCACCAGCACCCACTCCAGAGACCACCCACTTCGCTCGTCACCCTCTTCTCTTGGACCCACCTCTGGCTGCTTACAGTGGCTGCTAATTAAGCGAAACTCTAACGCTTCGATGACCATAAACTGTACGGGAAAATAATGAGCAACGCGTGGGGCTGAATATTTTTAATTGGAAATTTTATTGATGAGGAAAAAATGGAAAATAATTATGTGAAAGTGAGAAGAAGGTAACATAAACCAAGGCTGGAGGGGTTTAATTATTTCTGGTAAGAGAGGGTAAAAACCTGAAGGAGTTTTGTAAAGTGCAGTTGAGGCTAACGTCGGCTTTCTGATAACTTAATATGTTTCATTTAATCAAAAACCTCTTCTTCTAAAAATATCTTTGATAGTGCTGCCTTCTTAAACGATACAGAAGTTATGTCATTTAAGGCAATGCCTTCTCTAGGCTAACGAATTGTATTTCTTGCTTAACGAGTGACCACTGTTTCAATCTAGCATAGGCATGTGGAGCAAATGGTGCTGGTGGTGATGCTGATGCTACTGGTGTTGCTGGCACTCATTAGAACGGAAGAGGGAATTCCTTGGCCGTTGGCCGTCGGCAGATTTCGTCGCCAGCTAGATCCCCTGACCTATCCGAAGGATAATGCCTGGAAGGTGTTTTTGTTTTTTTTTTTTGTTTCTGCATCCAACCAGCCAGCCCTTTGTTGTTGTTGTCTCACGTTGCACATTGCGCCTGTCGAGTGCCATTCATTTTCTAACCCCACCCCTAAGTCGCCACCCTTTCATCCGGCCCTTGAGGTCATCGTGGCTTTCGTCACTTGCCTTGATGTTTTGGTTCACTTGGCTACGAAGGGAAAAAAGACAAATTAAATGTGTCTAAGTGTGTATTTGAGTTTCGTTTGGTGACTGCGATTTGTGCTGAGTTCCCTTTATCTTATCGGCTAATGTCTGCCTTTAAGTCGTAAATTATATGCGCTTTTACCTGGAAAACTAATAACGCAAAGTGTTTGTACTTAGCCAAAGTTAATAAAAAGTGAATTTTAAAGCAAACAGAAATGAATATGAATGAATGAACAATTTTCTCAGCTAATAATGTACTAATAAACTAAAATAAAAATGTTCTCTTTCTGCTTAGTTAAAGACTATGGTGCTTTCTTTTACCACAAAACCCAAAACTTCAAATAGATTTTTGGATTTATAATTTCTACCACAGATTTCTCCTAATTTCGAGAAACACTTTAGTTTTGTGCTGAGCTTTTCTTATCTTTATCTTCTAACGTTTGCCTTTAAGTCATAAATTATTTGCGCTTTTGCCATTATATAGTTGCATAAATATTGAGCTTAAAACGAGGCGTGCAAAATTAATAACACGAACTATCTAGCACGCACAGATAAAGTGCGAGAGTGAGAAAGGAACAGAGAAGGAGAGTTGGGGCTTGACTGACCGCATAGATAACACGCATACGCCATTGTGGGTGGCAGTTGGGGGGCATTACCCATTGTTATTCCTGTAGTGCGTGCTGTTTTTGTTTTTGCAGCTCTCCTGCTATCGACAATTTTTGGGACACACTCACACAATTACATACTTACATAGTCACGTCTGATGGAAATTCCTTTTGTGTTGCAACTGACAAAACTCATAAATGAACATTTCCTTAATGGCTGCAATTTCCCATCTATCCACTTCAAGGATATTCATGTGCCGTACATAACAGGATGCCGAAAAGTGTGTTACCAGCCATAATCGATATTCGATTTAAATTGTTCATTTAATGACTATTACAGCTGCAATACGGCAGACACACACACACTGGTGCACTCTACCTCCTATCGCGCTTGCAATATTTCAAGGCAAACAATAATTACAATTTTCAATTTATGATAATGAACTTTATTTTCGCATCAAATAGAAATTGATACAGATTGCTGAGATACTCGCATAAAAGTGAAAGATTAAGTGTTATGGCAGATGGAAAATACAGGAGGATGATTGATTGTTGGTTTAACAAATGTTTCGGTTTATTCTGCTGTGAAATTGAGCTTGAGAATGTTCATACGGAAGGACGCCAAATGAATTTTATTGGGCTTGTGTAATGGCTTAATATTGGGCAAGAAAACAGGTTAATAATTGATGAATGGCATTAATTAATGGCCTTGATTTATAATGAATTCTGTTGTTTGTTTTCATGTAAAGGCCTTAAGTAAATCAACAACGTTTCAGTTTCAGTAATTGGACTAAATTTATGGTTTACACCAAGCAATGTTTGCCTGAAGGAATAAAAACAAGAGCCTGATTTATTCATACTCGGCTTGAAATATAATTATTCCAATTTCTCTACTAAAAACTGTTTAGTTTATACCAGTAATCTTGTAGCCATTTTCTTATCCTTCTCTGAAAGGTTTTTGCTCAGAGAGCATAGTAAATTAGCGACCTAATGTCTTCTTACTTTTTACCAAGCCAACTCAGCAAGGTCTTTAAAGGGCTTAGTGCTCTCCTCTTCTTTTGGGTTTTTGTTGCAAGTCCACTTAGCAATGCCCTTTGTTGACCGTCCCGGGATAAGACACATTCGCAGGATCAAGCTGCCTGCACATGAGAATGGGCTTGTGGCTAGAACCGAGTAAAGTAAACTTAGCTCGATGATGGCTCCTTGGCATGCAATTTCCACGAAGCAGTGGCTAATACTTATTCAAGGCATTGGCCGGGCTATCGATGACAGGTCGAGCGGAGAGTAGAGAGCGGTAAGGAGGGACATCAGAGGGTTAAGACAGGGAATCCAAGGACACATGCGTCATCAGCATTATCCTTACGCTTCAACGCACCTAAAAAGAAACCATTACAAGGGAAAATTTTCTTCTGCACATCAAAGATTGGATACTCTAGGGAAACAGCAAACAAGTTTCGATTAAACATTTGACTTGTTTTTAAGTTTAACTTGCCAATGGCAAAAGGAATGATTTCTAAGTTCAGATTTCCCTAAGGAATTAAAAATAAATTACATGGAAAAAACTGATATTTTAAGGGCCAATAATAAAAATGATAAATTTCATGCTTTAATTATAAATCATGAGAATATCAATTAATTGCTATCCTGAAAACCCCCCTGTAACTATATGAAATTAAAGAATTAAAATGTAACATTTTGTTATATTTTATATCGAGTTATCCTTAACCTCTGTAGTAAGGCAAACGTGTTCAAGTAATAAAATAAAGTAGAGGGGAGTAATAGTTGGTGCTGTTTGAACTTTGGATCCATTAACACAATTGCCACGGCACCACTCTTTCAAGAATCATTTATCATGCTGAAATTTATCAGGGAACTAGATTTAAGACTTCAGCTTTTTCATTCCGAGCAGAGCAGGGTGAAACTATGAAACTTTACAATTTTATGGAATTTTATATGTATTTTATTTTTGGATTTTTCTCTGATTTTCCCCTTGCAGAATTTACAACGAAAAGTTGCTGAGAAGCGAGCTTCGGCAAATATCAACAGCTGGGAAAAGCAAATCATAAGTAAACACAGAGGACAACAGGACCAGACAACCGCACAGGACGAAGGATAAACGTGGTAGTTGCCATGAGAGCAGCCTCGGGTGTTGACCAGGAATGAAAGGATCCGGTCCGAGGGTAAGAGGACAAAAGGAGCAACAACAGTAGCAACAGCTGCAACAGCAATCCAAACAGCTGCAACATTCACGAGCAACGAGCAACAACGATAGTGGGGCAACAATAAGAACCGCCAGAGACAACACCCGCAATCAAATCAAATTCAAAGATGCAAATTACAATTTGCATACAAATGCATGCGGACCAGACGAGCAACATCAGCACCACAAACTGCACCACAAGTAACAAAAGCCTCGCAAATTGTTGTCAAATGCTATAAAATTGTACGGAATAATTCTAAAGTACACTTGCAAACATATCATCGAGCGGGTGTAAGGTCCCACAAATCAACATGATCAAGGGTATTCTGATACAGCGCAAAAGCCAGGAGGATGCCAGCTACACCAAGCAGCTCAAGATGGAGCACGCCGATCTGGTGGCCGAGATGCAGACCGTCGAGAGCCTGCCCACCCACGAGAGGCTCCAGCTGGCCCGACTGTAAGTATTATAATCTTTAATTAGCGTGAGATTTGTAGTGGGTCTTGGCATGCAGTGAGGCTAAATCAGAGCTCCTCAAACAGACTCGCTTAGGATTTGATTTTTGTATATATAATTTGATGCACATAATTACAAAACTATTTTAGATAGTGGTTAAAATTTGTATTTTAATTAAAACACTAAAAACCACTCATGTTTTTTTTAAATAGTTATTCTTATGAATAAAGTTTTTAATTAAAAGGAATAAAAACAGCAAAGTTCGTCCAAAGATTATTCAAAGAAAAATACATTTTGTTTTTGTTTTTTAGACCTTCAGGCATCGGAGGGAACTCTGGTTTAAATCTTATTATTGCCCGTTTTAAGACAAATTTTAAATAAAACTATCTAAGTTTGTACTCAGCTCTGTATATATTGTGAAATATAGAAAACAAAAATTTTACTTCAAAGCTGTATATAAGCAAAGGAAATACTAAAATTAACTCTCTGTGTCAGTTAATGGCCGAACTCCCTTAGGTTTCTCTTCTTATTCTGAGCTATCGAATTTCCGCAACTAATACCCAATCTCTTCCTCAATCCTTTCTCGGTAATTAGACGTCGGGCCCAGCAGCTGAAGCTGTCCAGACAAAAGGACAAGGAGTGGGCCAAGTTGCAGAGGTCGAAAGGCAACACGGCGAGCGGTGGCGGCGGAACCGGAAGCGGATCACTAGGCAACGCGTTGATGAACGGCAATGGAGATACTACGCACCACTTCCGGCACGCCAATGGATCGGGCACTTTGAGCGGTAGACGGCACATATCCTTCGAGAACAGTGTGGTGCTCCTTGAGGCCGCATCCCGGAACGATATGCCCGAGGTTGCGGCTCTCCTGCAGCACGGAATCACGCCGGATGCCGCAAACGAGGACGGGCTGACGGCGATGCATCAGGCGTGCATCGATAACAACGTCGAGATGTTGCAGCTCCTGCTGGAGTACGGTGCAAATGTGGATGCGCAGGACAGTGATAAGTGGACGCCCCTTCATGCGGCAGCCACCTGCGGCCACCTCGATCTGGTCCGCATCCTCATCCGGCACGGCGCCAATCTGCTGGCCGTCAACACCGACGGCAATATGCCCTATGACCTGTGCGACGATGAGAACACCTTGGATTTCATCGAGGGCGAAATGGCACAGCGCGGCGTGACCCAGGAGCTTATCGATGAGACGCGCTCATCCACGGAGCGGATTATGCTGCGGGACCTCATGGAGCTGGTTCGCACCGGAGGCGATTTGGAAGAGCCAGACTACCAGTGCGCTACGCCGGTAAGTAATATACGAGGTGTGTTCAAAAAGTAAGGTGACTCTTCAAATTTCAAATTTTTCAAATTTTTCGATTATCTTCAGTTTTGGGAACAAGAAAAAGTCACATGGGGCCAAATCCGGTGAATATGGTGGCTGAGGCATTATTGTGGTGTTGTTTTTGGCCAAAAAATCCAAATCCTTTGATCCATATTTTTCGATAGCAAAAAATCGCCGAGCTCGCAAAATAACTTGTAACTTTACGCCTCTCACAACCAAACAAAAGAGGATGTTCCATTGAAACTTGGTACAGATGTTAGGGAAGAGTGTACCAATATAACAAAACAAAAAAATCGATAATCGAAAAATTTGAAATTCGCGAAATTTGAAGAGTCACCTTACTTTTTGAACACACCTCGTATACTACCATATAATGAAGTTACAGTGTTTTTAAATCTCTTTCAATAAAAGATAAAGATAAAGTTGATTAGTGAAAGAAAATATTATTTTGTAAGGTTTTCAAATTTATTTTTTCAACAATAACTATTTTTACTTGCATTAATACCAAAGTTATTCCCTATGTAAAATCTTTAATTTATCTCAATTGTTCAGCTACACATAGCTGCTGCCAATGGATATGTCCGTGTCGTGGAGTTTTTGTTGGAACAGCATGTCAACGTGGATGCCATGGACAAGGATCTGTGGACTCCGGTACACGCGGCCGCCTGCTGGGGACATGTAAGTGAAGCCGCGAAACCAAATAACCTGTGACCAATGGAATAATAATTTAAAATATTTTCCCCGTTTTCAGCTCGAGGTGCTGGAGATGCTGGCACAATGCGGTGCTGATTTAAATGTTCGCAACAAGGACGATGAGACGCCCTCAGGTGAGAATATGTGAAAAGGCTGCGGCACTGAATCAACGGATATCCTTGTAGAGCCAAATAACCATGAATATGAAATTGAGCTATAAATTGTTGTTAATGTTAACAAGAAAGGCGTGTAAATCTTTTTAGTCGAGTTTTTGAAATTGCTCACATGGATTTGTAGACTATTTGTAGTGGGTTTCCCCACTTGTTTGGATCAGTTCTTTCGCGCATTTGAGTTTGGTTTAGATATGTTTTTTTAGAAATGTTTAATGCAATATTTTTAATAGAAGATAATAAGAATAATTAATGACCCAATATATCTACTTTAATAGATATCTGTGAAGATCCCGAGATCAGGGAACGTATCGAGCAGCTGAAGACAGAGCAGGAGAGCAAACGACTGGCCGAGGCGCAGCGACGACGCGTTCGACGCTCACAGAGCAACAACACTAGGTAAGTGCTTATATTATAAAATCACAAAAACATATTAACTAACGTTTATGCAAATCCCTTTAATCACAGAGCCCAATCAGTGAGGCGCACTAGTTTGCGGGACAAAACGCTGACAACCAAAAAGGATGCCGTCGAGGAGACGCGTCTGCGTCTGCAGGCCCAAGAGGCGACGGATTCGGAGACACCCTCTTCTGGTGGAGATCCCCTGACCAATGGCTATGGTTATGGAAACAATAACGGAGAGAAGCGACCCTCGACAGGCAGTTCGAATGGCCAACTACTGCCCCACTCCAAGTCCGCCGATACGCTGGATAATGCCATGACGGCATCCTCCGCCGCATTGTCGGCCACCGCCACACATTCCTATCCCTCGCGGCGTCCTCCGGATGGCCGGGAAAACGATGAGTTGCTCCGGCTAAAAGCCTCTGGTGCCGTTGGAGAGATGCAGCGGGCCACCTCCGCGGCGGCAGTCATCCTCACCGAAAAGGGAACGGCGGCCAGTGCCGAGGCCGTTCAAATCCAATCGTCCAAGGAGGCTGCCAACGGCAAGATCAACGTTCAGGTCACAGTCCTTGTGGGTAAGTCAACAGCCACTGGCCACGTGTCAAGCTTGCTTCCGCTTTCTCAGCCTGTCTATCCCTGCCACCCATTTACTCATGCGTCCCACAAAAGCAACCTCCCACCACCCTACTCTTCTCGGCTCCAAGGAGCGTCAACGTATCACGGAGAGTCCTGCTTAAGCGCCATCCTGTCCCCGTGTCAATGTCAATGTTTAATGTTTATTTAACGACTCTACTAAAATGGAAATGAAAATACTTCCAGCTAACAGCATGACTAGAATATCGAATGGGGTATGCCCTGTAGAAAAGAGCTTTGATATGCTAAAGTAAAAATGTCTATAGGGAATTTACAAGAGTCTTATTATTAAAAAAAGATAGGTAATACTTATTTAGGCTTCCTTACAAGTTGAATTTGTTAATTGTATTAATACACTAGGGATGTGCATTTTCAAATTGAATATTTACACATTGAGTTAAAGACATTTTAAAATTAGTTATTGTGGTTAGCAATTATCGTTATAGTTTTCATAATGGTAAATATTTAAGGGTCTTCTGGGCCAACATTATGTTTCGTTGGCTAGATACATTTTTTTAAACGACACACCAACTATAGGTGAGCCTAGTTATCATAATAGATTTAGCTTTCATTTAAAAACCCTTACTTAGAAAACCGACAAGCATGACTGTAATAAAAGGCATTAAACTTGCACGTAACATCCATCCCATATAACCGATCAAAACCAATTTTTCAAGGGGTATTTACAAACTTAACTCTTAGGGGAAAAATGAGAAAAAGGAAAGTAAAATAACATTTGCTTGTTTCTGTTTCATTCTTTTTTTTTGTTGTTGTCGTTGTGCTTCGTTTCGCCCGTTCTGTGTCGTCTGCCTGCCCGCATCATCATCAACAATAAAAACAACAACAAACACCACCACCGCACCACTCAAACAACAAAAAATATACACACACACCCACCGCCTTGCCAAAAAACACCAACATCCAGACACCAACAGCACGCACCACCATCAGCAACATCAACAGCAGCAGCAACATCACCAGCAGCAACAAGTATTGCTGTTGCAGCAACACCAGCAACATCAACAGCAGCAGCTACAGCTACAGCAGCAGCAGCAGCATGTTGCCTTGGATGGCTATAGTGCCACATTGGCCAATTTGAAGAAGCAACGCTCGCTTTCACGCACCGCCAATGTCCTCAATAATTTCGAAATATCATCCCAAACAAATAGCAATGCTCATTCAATTGCAGCTGCAACTGCAACTTCCACTAATGGTTCTGTTTTAGGAGCCGGCGGCAGCAACAACAACAACAACCTTAGCACCAGCAACAACAACAACAACGGATCGGCACCGATCTCGACGCAACCAACCATGGGACACATGGGTCCGGGCAGCCTGCTATCGGACTTCGAGGGTTCCTCGCCGGCGGGCAGTTCGCTGAACAAGTTCAGCGGAATCACCGGCGATGTTGTCACCGACAGCACCAGTTCCAGTCGCCGGTGCTGTGTCCTGATGTAGAAGCTTAAATAACTAACTAATAGAATCACAGGGTATTAAACCAACAAGAACATTTGTCAGAGCGATAGACCATTATTTAAATGGCGAAGAAATAAGTGTCTTTTTTTAGATTAGCCGAATTCAGTGAGTGAATTGTTGAATGTTAAAAACAAAATTGTATGTTGGTTTAAGAGTGGTGGGGGTTCAGTTCTTTGAACTCCCGGAAACGGCTAAAAGTCGTTGCATTTTCCTAGCAGACACTACACAAAACACACACACAACCAATTATACGATACAAGTTTATACAAATATACAACCATATGTATACATTTTAATGAAAATATAAAAGGAAAAATTATAAAATAAATGTGAGCAGTTTACCCTAGTTGATATGTAAAAGCAAAATCAAAAGCATCAAAAAAATATCAAAAAATATTTATATATCAGCGCTAAGAACTTACCCTATTAGATTTGCTTGGAGTGCATTGAGTTATCTGTGGTTCAGTGTGTAAGTGTTAAAACCGAAACAGGCAAAGTATTATGCAACAAGTATGAAATATTTAATTAAATATACGATAGCGAAATTATAGTTAAAACTTGACAGCAAAGTAAAGCAAAGCAATGAAACGAAATGCAAAGCACTCAAGCAATTCCCCATATAAGTGTCTAAATGTTGAATTGAAAAGATGTTCATGCCAGGCAAGATTAAGATTTATTTTTGAATGGAATTACCTTGCTCTGTGTTATGTGAGTTGAGTGTTTTGTTAAAAGATACAAAAAATTTTGTATTATTTATGTAGCAACTATGTTTGTATATACACAATTCCAAATGATTAAGTTTAACAAATGCAAAAAAATGCAACGCGCAATTAGCAAATGAGACTTTTTTCGATTTTAATGTCAAGGCATTAGCTGAACGTTTTGTAAAATAAACAAATGAAATACGAAAAATTTATATAAAAATTTTTTTTTAATTTTTTTGAATTGCAGGCTAATGCAAAGTGCCATCTATTGGATTTTTTTAAACCTTTTTTTTTAAAACAAGTTGGCATCTTTTATGTTGTGAGGGAAGTTGTCAGCTTCGAAAGTCAGCTGTTTTTATTTACTAGTATTTTGTTTACATCTTTATTTGTTAAAAGAAATGGAATCCCTTGCAAAATATCGTTATAGTTTGGTGGCTGGCTCCTTTGCAGCTGGAGGAAGCTTTTTTGGCAAACTTCCCAGTCACCTTAGCGCTCAGAAGCTTTTTTATACTTCTGGGGCTCTCTCAGATTCTTCCTATTTAGGTAAATTTGTTTGCCAAAATAAAGCCATTGCTAAACGTTTATTATTTTATAGAAATCGCTATCCTTCGAGTCCTGCCTCTGGTTCTTATGCTAATCTGCAATGTTAGCAACTTGCGTTGTTTTCTAAAAGCTCTGCAAATGACTGATCAAACGTTAACCTGCGTTGTTTTGACGGCCGCCTCTAATTATGTCTTATCGGTAGGGTGCTTCCCTAAAAGATTTCTTTCGTTATGACTAACATTCATCATACACATATGTATGTAGTTTATTTTAGGTGCAATTGTTTATCAAGAACCACTTTCAGCATTATCTGGCATTGGTATAGCACTAATTTTAGCTGGCCTGTGGTTCCTTTGCGATGAGGGAGAAGTCGAATCCAAGGAAAAGAAACTAGGAAAGCAGAATTAATTGGAAAAATTTTTCAATAAACTAGGTATAGTTTCTTAAGCATTTATCTATATTAAATTGGATACTAAAGGAATTTTCTAGAAAAAATAGTTTTTAGTTCATTAATTAAAGCAAAGCCTTTACATTTGAAATATGTATACTTTTATGAAAAAGAAATTATTCTCAACATTTTTGCCATTTTATAGCCCCAAAAACTTTGTTTCTATTAGAATCATCCCGACAATTCTAATAGATAAAAAAAACGATTAGTTTATATACCTTTGTTTAATATATGTACTATTTTGCAAATACATAGCTTTCATTTCATTTATAATGCACTTTTAATGTGCACGCTTCTTCATTCACGCATTGTTAATTACAACTATTATTTTGTTACGTGGTTCTTGTATTTTTGTTTCTTAGTTTGTGTGTAAAAGTTTGGCAGAAAAAAAAGTTTTTGAAGTGGTATAGAGCATGACAGTAAGAGCACAAACTATAAATATTTTTATCATTCGTTTATATATATAGGTAATAGTAATTAATTTGTATGTTTCAGAATCGTTATTTAATTGCTAAGACGTATAAATACTTTTTATTTTCTTCCTCTCGACCTCTGCTATTTAACTCATCAACGCCGCCAAACAGGGATATCGGTCGGTCGGTTTTGCCCATTCTTCGATTGTTTCAGTTTGCCGAAGTCCTGTCCTGTTTGGGAGTTTTAGAAACCCTTAGAGCGTTTACTTTCCTGTATATAGTTGTATTTTTTTTTGTTTCTAACAACTATTTTGTTTTATTATTAATACATTATCAAATAAACCAAAAATCAAGGGAAATAATTATAAATTGTATTGAAACGAATTGTGTCTGCTGATGCTTCATTTTCGTTTCCCTAGTTGCGTTTTAAAGGATTCTTTTGATAGATCTCCATTTCTTCTGGTTGAGAGTTTTTTTATATTTTTTTTACGTAACCATAATTGTACGTCTACGTGGCCATTACTTGCATGTGGATGATTGGTTTCCTTGTTTTTTCTGTATGGAGTTTTTTGTGTGTATGGTTTGCATGAATTGTAAGTTTTTGTTTGCGGTTAATACGTATTATATCCTCAGTTTTTATTCTCCAGTCCGAGTGGCATGCGCTGCGACTGGTTCTGGCGGTTTATGTAGCCACCACCACCTCCCTGGTTGCCCGTTCCGCTACGCCCACGATCGCCCATGGGCCTGCCGCCGCCGTACGATCCATTAACATTCCTCTGTTGGTTGCCACCGCGCTGGCCACGATAGTTGCCTCCGCCGCCACCAGAGGATTCGTAACGCGACTCCTTATTGTACGTGCCGCCACCTCCTCCTCCATTCTGGTAGTAACTATTGCCGCCACCATTGCCAGACTCGTTGTTGCGAAAGTACACGCCACTGTTGCCCGAATTGCGTCCGTTCGGGTTCGATGAGTTGCCGTATTGACGCGACCGGTAGTTGCCTCTATCGCCACCATTGCGCCGCTCATCACCTCGCCCTCCCTGATCACGATCACGGTTATCCCGATCTCCACCACGACGTTGGTAATTGCCGGAGTTGCGACGTCCCTCGCCTTGCGAGCTGTTCCAGTGGTTGTTACCCTCGTTGTCCGCATAACCGCCATTGCCACCACCAGCGCTATGGTCCCTGGGCGTGGCCCACTCCTGCTTGTGGCTGGTGTTGCTGCTTCCATTCGAGGCAGCACTGCTCATGGCATTCACTTCTGAGCTCCACTTGGTGGGCGGTGCCGGAGGCGTGGCCTCGCCTTTCAGCACATTCGTAAGCGCAGCTGTGGCTGCTGCATTCGTATCGTTATTACGGGCATTCCATTCACTGTTCTCCACATCCCCACCAGCTCCTACACTCGAAGAGGTGTTACCAGATGAAGGCTCTTCCAGCTGCTGTTGCTGCTGCTGTTGTTGCTGCTGTTGTTTGAGCTGCTGCTGGATCTGCTGCTCATAGGTAACCACTGCACTTTCGTACGGAAAAACTGAGGTCACATCTCCTGCCTGCATACCTATTCCCTGAGGAGCAGGCTGTTGAGGCTGCTGGGTTGGCAGACGCGGGATAATCAGCATCGGTTGGGGCTGCTGCTGTGGTTGCTGTTGACGTTGTTCGTTGATTAGAACCGGGGAGAAGAGATGCTGCTGCGGAGGAACCGGCTGCTGGGGCTTAGGCTGCTGAGACGGGAACGACTGGTTGGTGAAAGTCAGGGTTTGTATGGCCTGCGGTGGTTCTTCGACACGGTTGGGCTGCTGCGGCTGTTGTTCGAATACCAATCCTTGATTGGTCGGAGGCGGTGGGGCTAAGGCCTCAGGATTGTCCAATTCACTGTCCTGCAGAAAGTGGAAACTTCCTGTGCCTAAGACCTCCGCCAAAGGGCGAAATTGCTGTATAAACTGTTGCTGCTGCGGCGTTGGTTGTCCCTGTAGACCAGGAACTTGCGGGTGCGGCGGTGGCTGCTTGAAATAGTTCTGCTCTACAGCCCTTACATTGGGAGCGAAGTGAGTTGGATGCTGCTGCTGTTGTTGTGGTGGCGCAGCTGCGGCTCCTGTCTGCAAAGCCTGGAGATTCACGGGGCTGCTCAACAGCTGATGGGGATGTGGCGGCGGCTGTTGTGGCTGCTGCTGGGGAGGCGGCGCTGGAGCGTATAGCACATGCACTGGCGTGGTGGTTCCCCCGGCCGGAGGAGCAGCTTGATATACCTGGGGCGGCTGTTGTGGTTGATGCTGCAGAACCAAGTTATGCTGCTGTTGATGCTCCAGAGATGGAGCTCGCTGTTGTTGTTGCTCCAGTAGAAGATGGCCCGGACGCTCAGGCTGCTGTGGCTGTTGCTCTAGTTCCGTTTGCACTCCCAGATGCAACTTATCTAATCCCTCCTCCAATGAGTTTCGAGCCGACGGCTCCGATGGTAGTTCAGTGTCGAGCTCTCCAGAACCATCGTTCAACAAGTCACCGCCGTCGCCGTCGCCACTTCCGGTGCCACTGTCTGTACTGTTGGCCACCGCGTTTTCGGCCAGAGGCACCAAGTAGTACTTGTCCAAATAACCAGAGTCCTGGATCTGCTGGAAGAGAGTTCGCAACTTCTCGAAGGTCACCTCACCATAGGGCTTTGGACGCGCATTGATGGTCGAAGAAAATATTTCAGCAGATTTCTGGGCAGTGGCAATGAAGCTAACATCATCAGCGGTTTCCGGTCGACGCGTTTGGGTCTCCAAGAAGCTGAAAATTTTAGGAATTACGTTTTTTGTATAGGTGTAACAAGTGTAAAAACTTTTAATTTAATTTTATGACTAAAGTTTGAACTTTTTGTAGTATTATATTTTGCAATTGCAATTTTAGTAATTGCAATTTTAGTGAAGTTACTTACAATTTTTCCAACAGATCCACTTCGCTGCTTTCCAACTTTTTCGCTCCATTTTCGCCGGCCAGGAAATCGTTGCGCACTTGTTCGTCGTTAAAGCAGCTGATCACATTCTGGATGATCAGAACCTCCCGAATTTTGTTCGTTTCAGCAATCATCTTAGCCAGATTGTCCTTTGATTAAAATTTATAGAATGATTATCGGCGTACTATTAAAAATTAACAAGCTTACCTTGCGCGCCTGCTTTTTCTGCTCCTTGTCGGCCTCCTTGGATTGCTGCTGAATGTGTTTGGCCAACTCGCGAGCAAATTCCAGATTGGCCAAGACCGCATCGTATTTAGCCACGGCAGATGCCTGGTCGCCGCTCAGTTCCTTCCCGCTGCTCTGTATGGCGCGATAGGACTCCAGCTTGGTCTGTTCAAAAAATATAAATTGGTGGGTGAGTCATTACTATTTAGATTTTTTTCTGCCAAAGCAAATATGACAAATAACAATGTATGATAGAAAAGTACCGTAAAAGATAATAAATATAGAAATCTATTCGGTAATTAACTTTTATAGTTCCCTAAACTAGTACTCCCCGTTTATAAAAATGCCTTTACAAGTTTCTTAATGCGCTACTATAACAATGAAATTACAATATACATTTTTTCGAACTGTTTGGTTTTTACAAACTATAGCTCTCAATTTATTGGAATTGAAAATAGTTTTGAAACAATAAATATATATGGTCTATCAAATTTCAGTTTGAATAAAGAACCTAATTTTAAGAAAACAAACTTTTCCCTTATTGTTTTTGTGATCTTGTCTTTAAAGTTCAAAATTTGGTAAACATTTTTTTCTAATATTTCAGAAATATTACTTTAGAAATGTAACGTAAAGTAATTTTAAATAAAGATTTTCTACACTTCATGTGTGGGTAAAATTGAATTATTTTTAGTTGGCGAGATATTAATTATGTGATAATGTGAGTTAAAAGTCTTTAGCAAGCATATAAACAAAAGAAAATAAAATTGCAAAAAGGCAAAAACAACTTTGACATTCCAAGCCGGCGAATCACGTTGCCAGACTCTTGGATCACTCAGCTGTTATTAGTGTTTTTTAAGTAAAGAGTTTCCTTGACACAACGTGTTTAATAGCAATAATAAAAATACTTTGCACCCTGCACAAAATAACAGTGTAAAACCCTCAAAATATTGTTTTTTTTTATTCTTTATGACATGCCGGCCGCTATTTCCAATATGGCAACGCTGTACTCTAGAAAACATGGCGTCGCGAAAAATCTGCCCCGAATACTTAGACGAAGAATGGGGAGGGGGATGAGGGGTGCGCGCAAAACGAAACAAAGCAACACGGAGAATAAAAATAAAAATGGTGGGCCATGCTGTCAAAAAAGAATCCTTTGTGGCACTTTTCCCAAAATCACACACTTACCTTTCGCTTCTCCAGATTCCTGATCTTGTGCTCGATGGTCACCAGCAGCTGCTTAAGCGGATTGTAGGGCTCTGGAGCAGCCTTTGACTTGACAGCATTTCCATTGGCCAGATCCGACTGGCTGCCCTCCGCTGTGGCCGTGCTGTTGTTATTTTGGCCGTTGGTGGCAGATGCAGTCACCGCCGCAACTCCAGCTCCAGATCCTGATCCAAGTCCTGCGATTCCCGGTCCGCCCAGCGAACTGATGGAGGAGCGCTTCTCCTTGCTGGCATTGTTGTTGTTAGTGGCGGCGATGGCAGTTGCAGCGGAAGCGGCAGCGGTAGCAGTTGCGGTATTTGCAGCCGAAGGCATGGTGCGCCGTTGGGTTCTTCCTGGTTGGTCTCAACGACGTTCTAGCTCGAAATGGGGAATGATTTTATATTCAAACGCTGCTGCTGCTGCTGCTTCTCGGGGAAAAAAACCTAGAGCTGAAACACGGTCCGATGTTCTTTCGACAATATCGATATCTGTTCGATATTATCGGGATGACATGGGCATCGATATCGGTGCTTGCATCCACAACCACAACAATTGACTGTGAAATTGATGTGTAATAATCGGAACTAGTTCGACTAACTCTTCGAAAACTCACAATATTTGGGAACATTTAAAGAATAAAAAAAAATGTTTGGCAAAGACCATTAAGCTAGGTGTAATGGTAAATGATCAATGTAAATAGATGTATTAGTTTAAATCAGAATATTAACAATTAAAAACCATTTGAAATTTGCCAACATTCCTATTTTGTTATTTCTGTTAAAAGATTTTTTTTTGTAAATTCATAATAATGATTTCCTAATTTATTAATTATATTTCTTTTTTGAGACGGTTGCTAAGTGTTGTTTTTGTAGCTTTTATGATTTTAACTTTACTTACTGTAATCCTGTAAGCCACAAAAATAACAAAAAGTAAGAAATCAGCTTTACAAACAAGCAAAAGAGAAACTAATTATATAATTAGTCAAGCAGATTTTACCTTAATTTCAAGCATTTATCAAAAGTTTTTTTGTGTCGAATTGTTTATAATTGTTAAAATGTTATTCGGCATAAACTCTAACATAATCTATTATCATGGCGCTTTGTCTGCCCCAAGTTGGAGCCCAAGCATCGCGGTGCTGCCAAAAGGAGAGTGCAGCCCTCGGTTCTCTGTTCTTATAGGGTTTCACATCCTTGACCAAAATGCTATCATCGAAATTTAGAAAACCTCCTACTGTCACGCCAAAGATAATAAAACACTTCTCGTTGAAGAATGGCAATCCATCGTAGAGCTCTCCGTATACCTCCTCGTCCACCATCAGAGTAATCTTATCTCTTTGCCAGATCATGGTATAGTTGTGAAAATCATCGCCGTAGTGGGTCTCACTTAGTTTATCCTTAAGAAACTGAACAGGGTTACCATGGTGCCAAACAACGCTTCCGCCATAAAGATGATTTCCGGAGATATCATCTCCTTGCTTGGTCCGCAAATTAGCATTACCTCTGACATATGCAATACCTGAAAGCGAAATATAAAAGATAAACAAGTAATAACATTGGGATGTGTTAAAGTAAATTAAATAAATAGATCATTGGTAAAATTTAAAATTCCTAATTTTTTTTTTTTGGTTTCATCCCAACAATATTTATAAAACTTACGCAATTGTTTGGCATAGTGGGTCTCCGCGTAAGTAGAAACGGGTTGGAGCATCAAATCTTGTGGAAATAATAGTTAAAAAAAATACAATTAAGTCAAATTAAGAACACTCACAAGGAAAAAGCCAATCACCCTTCGGCAACTTAGCTCGTACTACGATCTTTCCATATTTAAAACTAAACGAGTTTCGTGTGTGTATTTGAGCAGAAAAAACTGGTGGTTTAATGCTGTAGAAGCTGCCGGCAATGTTGCACTCCTGATCCGGACTCTCAACGGCTGTACAACGATCACCCAGTTTGAAACTCCCATTGGTAACCTCAGTAGCTATGGTGGGAACTATGTGGAGCTCGCCTTCTTTAACAAAGGAGTTTCGATCGGCATCGTCGAATGCCACAAGCTCCTCCTCGACATGATACATCCGTTGCCTATCAATTTAATAATGTTCATTAAGCATTGAAACTGAATGGTTAGTAGTTAGCTCTTCATACCGAATGTCATGCTTCCATGTGGTTTTGTTTAGTTTCGCCTCCGAAAAGTTGTCCTCGAAGATGAGCTCGCCCTGGCAAGTGTGGCGGCCATTGCTCACGATCGTTTGGGCAGGCTTACAGCGCTTGGGTTGCTGTTGCGGTGCGAGGAATGCCTGACACTCCCCTTCTCCCGAAGGAAAGGTAATACTCCGTGAGCTGGAATCCCTGGTTGTCAGCAACCGCGTGTTAATGATAACTCTTGTCTCACTCTTTTCAAAGATCTCATCATTGTACTGCACCAGCAATGATATCTGAAGTTTGTCGTTGTTCTGGAGACTGGTCTTCTGCTTAGAAACCCAACTACCGTTCACCGCCTCCGTGATGTAGTCCATTAAAGCCGGGCAAGTGTCGTCTATTTGGAGCATGTAGAACACCCGCTGTATGCCAGGTTCATCTGTAATATATTATAAAATTAAATAATAAATGCTTAAGTACTGTAATAAGGATAACTTTTATCTACAGTGCACAACAAATTGAAACAAATACATAAGTAGTTAGAGGTATTTTGTATAATCAAAGCTGCCTTTTTAGATCTTTACATTTTTCTTAATGAATTATGCCTTAAAACACAATCTAAGTATGTAATAATGTATATCTAAAAAATTCAATTACATTGTTTATTTTATTTTTAATTAAAGCTTTTTTAATGTGAATAAATTAACCAACACATTACCATTATGATTTTATAAGCTAAGTAAGTTCAGGTATCAATATGATAAAAACTTCACCTGGTATGGATACCTCGAATCCTTGATCACTTAGCATTTCAAATTCAATGCTGGGGACTTTAAAGCCCATCGCATCATAGCTTAAAATTAGCAACAAAAAGTAAGGCAAAGTCGTACAACTCATGACGCAGTTTTAATTGCTCTTAATATATGTACTAACTAGAATCCGATTAACGTATTATTCTGAGAACCTGTGTTGTGGAACTGCTGCATCAGATTCAATATCTTCGTCTTGAAAGCTTGCCCCGGTGGTTGAAGCTCCTCTCAGTCACAGCTGCACTCTTATTAAATTATTCGATTGATTTTAAAGAAATTAAAGTTTGGAATTTAAAATGTTATTATATTATTTTTATTATTTCATAATATTCATCATTTATGTAATTATGTATCCATGCTTGTAAGGAAATTGTTTGCATTATTTTTTTTTAAACATTTTCGAACTCTAGTTTTCTAAACGTGTAAGATGAGCTTTCGTTATCTGATCAGCTGTTTAAGCTTTCAATCGAAGGTGGATTACTGAGAGGAGTGTCGTTAGATCTAAGGTTTTGGGGTCTATGGGATGTTTATAAAATGTTTAATTCCCAGAGAAGCCACACCGCAGCTGGAGCTGATATGAATGTGGATTTGCAAACGCCGAATCGCGATTGTCCAGACCAACTAAAAGTAAACAAATAATAATCGCCCAGCACCAACGGCAGAAACCGGTCTGTCAGTGAGATAGACACACAGGTTGAGTCAGAGGCTTCGGATTCTTAAAGAAAACGGAGAAAATCGAGGATTAAAAATGCCAGGATTGTACTTTGGTATCATCCTCCTAGTTAGTTTTGGATGCATTAATTGCTATAAGATCCCCTCACCCACAGTGGAGCTTCTAGAGACTGGATTTAGTGTTTCAATTCCAGGTAAGTAGTTGGTGAACTATAATTTTGGCATCTCCTTCTTCTTATTATTATTATGAGTTTCTTAAGAAAAAATAAATTAATTTATATTGTCCCATCATGGTGTTTAATATGTTATTACAATATAATTTTTTTATGAGTTATAACTAACTACTTTTTGTACAATTTTTTTATGATTTATAACTAACTACTTATTGTTTACATACTAGATGAAGAAGGCGTTAAGGTGGTGGCTTTTAATGTGAATCGCAATCGGAATTTCACATCACTTACTAGAGAGGGACAGTATAATGTGAGATTAGTAGAACCCCAGGACGGCAGGTGGACGAGCACTTTCAGTTCGACACCTTTAAGGGCGCAGGATAGCATATATCTTTGGACTACTGTGCAGCACCAGAAGGCTATCTACCAGGATCTTTCCCTGCCCATGTCAGTGTGCAACCTAGGTGGAAATTATCGACCCAAAGGTTGTTCCCCAAACGACGATGATTTTTCGGATGATAATCAACTTAGTACTGAAGGAAGTACTCCAGAATCTTCAGTCCCCTCCGTCTGTGAGCCTTCTGACACACAAATTTCGCCACAATTCACTACTCCTATCTGCAAAGGACAGCTCTTGTTTGAGGAGACCTTCGATCAGCTTAATGAATCTCTGTGGATCCATGATGTTCGCCTCCCTTTGGACTCAAAGGATGCGGAGTTTGTCTTGTATGATGGAAAAGCAAAAGTTATAGATGGCAACCTGGTGATTGAGCCCCTTCTTTGGTCCAGCTATCGCCCAGACTTGCCCATAAGCAATTCCAGACTCGATCTCTCGGAGCGTTGTACAGGAACCCACAATCGACTCAAGGAATGTGTGCTGCATTCGATGGGAAGTGGACCCAGTGGTATCATGCCACCCATTGTAACTCCTCGTATTTGCACCAAGGAAACCTTTGCCTTTCAATACGGGCGCATTGAGATCCGGGCCAAGTTACCAAAAGGGGATTGGATAGTATGTATTATAAAAAAACTATAAACTTCATTATCTTTTATCTTTTTTTTCTTCCTTTTCCGATTTTAGATACCCCTACTGCTACTCGAACCCTTGACGGAATGGTACGGGCAATCGGGATACGAATCCGGGCAGCTTCGAGTTGCCCTGGCTAGGGGTAATTCCGTGCTTAGGATGCCACGTGGAAAACTTGTCGATGGCAGATCCCTATACGGTGGACCTGTGCTCTCCACAGATGCCCATCAAAGGGAGGACTTATGGCTAAGTAAAAGAAAGATCTCTCATTTTGGCGATGACTTTCACACATACGGCTTGGAGTGGGGCAGCAACCGACTGTTGTTTTCGGTGGATGGACAAGTTTATGGAGAGATGTTGAATGGTTTCGCCGAACTAGACGAGAATCCCAGGTGGAAGCAAGGTGGTCCCATGGCCCCATTCGACAGGATGGTTTGTAGTTTAATTAGTGAAGTCTAGGATGAACCTCTTCGAAAATAATATTATTTCTTTCAGTTCTACATATCATTGGGTCTCTCAGTGGGTGGTTTTGGAGACTTTGTGGACAATCTGCGCACCGCCACTTATGAAAAGCCTTGGACCAACTACCATCCCCAAGCCAAGCTACAGTTCCATCAGTCCCAGGAGCAGTGGCTACCCACATGGAAGCAGCCATCGTTAAAGATCGATTACATACGTGTCTTCGCCAACTGATAATACATAGGTCTATAAATGTTGATATAATCGCATACGAGTGTATTTATATGTGTCAGGCTGAATCTTATCGCTAATAAAGCTCTGGGAGGAACCCAGAAAACTCGAGTGCTTCAGTATACTCGCGAGTCTGTTAGGATGCAGATGAGACTATATTTAACCATATTAGGGAGCCTGTTGGTTGGCTTGGAGTCTTTTCAGGTTCCCCAGCCTATAGTGAATGTGACCGGAAATGATCCATGGATATGGGTATCGCTGCCTGGTGAGAAAATTCTAAAAAATAACACATTCGAAAATTTGTATTTGTTTTTATACCCGTTACTCGTAGAGTAAAAGGGTGGCGCCGTGAGAATTTCTATTCTTTCTAATTAATTTTTTATTTTGTTAATTGAATACATTTTTTAACACATTTTTAGAGGATGATCGCATTAGGTCGGTTTTCTTTTACACTCAGTATGGAGAAGACAAGTGTCCTTCCTATGATTATAAGATCGACGCCGATCGCGGCCATCCCTGGGCAATTAGAGAGTACCTAGGAAATAATACTCTAAGAATATCGGCTATCATTGAGACTAATCTAAACGAAACCGTAACCGAGAGCTTCAATATCAGATCATTGGGAGAAAGCAAGACTGTGGTAAAGCCATTGAAGAAATACCTTCCAGTTTCACGAAAAACTTCAGAATGTGAGGAACTGCGTAGGTCCACAAAATACTGCTTGCTCACGATTTCCCACCATAAAGGGCAGCCCTTTAACTGCAGTGGTAGGTTGATATTCTCGGATGCTTTCAGTGATAATGAAAATCCATTAAAGAATTGGAATCATGTGGTGCAATCACAGCTTCTGCAACCCTATTACGAGGGTGTGGCCTTTGTGAATCAAAAAGCTAACTCTTATGTTGAAAATAACATGTTGCATCTGAGGGTCACCCCAACCAACTATGGGTCTAAAAATCCATTCTATCTACCAAATTGTACTTATACTAGTATTGATGCAAATCAAAGATGCGGTGAAATGAAGTATAGGCTACCAGGCAGGAAGTTCATGCCGCCCTTTAACTCGGCAAAGCTAAAATCGAGTGACACGTTTAAATATTGCAGGATAGATATCAAGGCAAAGATGCCCATTGGAGATCTTCTATTCCCAGGTAACTTGCAATATTTAAAATGCTTTATCTGCAAGGAAATATATAAAAAATAGCATTACACAAATATATAATAATACCATTTAGACCTTAAAAGGTATGCAATATGATAAGAAAATGGCCACTGCAACTAACTTTTACAGTATTTGCCAGTTTAGAAATGAGAAATTTTTGAATGTATTTTTCAGGACTTTCACTGACATCAATCGATCACGACGCCATTCGTATTGCCATAGTCCGAGGAAATAATAAGCTCTCTGACTTCGCCAGCAATGAGATCGGAGGTACCAAACTCTTTGCTGGGGTGATTCTAAATGATAATGCCGGAGGGCGCCTCTATGAAGTGGAGGAATTCGCTAGTAGTGATGACCATTATGGCAAAAACTTTCACACGTACACAGTTATTTGGAAGGAGGAACGTATAATCTTCAAGGTAGACGGTCGGTCCTTTGCCCAAATAAGCAATAAAACAATCGTCCAAGCTCTTAGTCAAACAGAGGTAACTTTAAATTTAAGAAATTAGTAGATCGTTTATATAATATTCTCAAACAATAATTTTCCTAGCGCCATATTGAGTTGTTTCTAACTGTCGGAGGAGAGTACAATTTTCCGGACAGCCGCATTCCATCAGAGAATAAAAGTTATCGCAATTTCGAAACCGGCTTGTCCGCGAAAATTAAGGAGGCAGTAAAACGAGCACCCAATTGGGAACAAAATGTGATGATCATTGAAAGTATTAAAGTTTATTCAACTGATGAATACGAAGAATAAATCATTAACTTTTGTCATTGTGAATGTTCCGATTATTTTTATATAAAAAGCTATATTAAATATTTTTATTTTATACATAAATGTTAAGCTTTCTTGAGTTTACAAGCGAACAGCAAAAGATTACAAGAGTCTATGCTATCAATCAGAGAATGCAATAACCTCCAGATTATCAAATAGACTGATCGACTGTCTTCTCTGGTAACTACAAAGAACGTGAAAGATCAGTCGCGAGTTATCCGCCATGAGGAGGTATTCTGTCTTGATTTGGCTCACCAGCTTTATTTATTTGTTGAGTGCCCTGGAAATACCTCATCCAGTGGTGAAGGTTAAGGGTAGTGAGGTTTCCATAATGGTACCAGGGGAAATTAAAGGCATAGATTCGATTTTCTTTCAAGTGGAATTGGTAAATGAGGAGTGCGATGCGAATGCTTATGCCTATAGATACCAAAGTCCATGGAGAGCAAATATAGAGCTACAAAAAACTATAGAGCCCAATGCCAACCTGAGAGTTCATAGTGTAGTGGAAATAAACAAACAGATTACAACTCAGCTTTCAGTTTATAAAATTATTAAAAATGGTATGGGCGAATTAACAGATGAAGCTAAAAACGTCTTAAGGGCCGACTTGAAATATCTGGCTGCCAAATGCCAGCTTGTGAAAAAGGACAATGCACATGGCGTTTTACTCTTCGAAGACAATTTTGATGACAACCAAAAGCTTACTGATAATTGGCAGCATGAGGTAAGGTATCGCAATACGGGCGGGAAAAATCAGGAGTTTGTTGCCTTTGTTGATGACTCAATGAACTCGAACATAACGAACAACAAACTGCACATAACCATTACCAAGGCTGAGCGGGAAACGATTCTCCAGGGTTGCACCAGCAAAAAGGAGGGTATAGAAAAGAGAAAGGAATGTGGTAGGAGTTTGCAAAGATCGAAAAGGGAGCCTTGGGTGTCTAAAACGTTCAGATCCGCCAATATACACACGAACTTTACCTTTAAATATGGTCGAGTGGAGATTAGAGCTAAAATGCCTAGAGGTGACTGGTTATTTCCAAGTGAGTAATAAGATCTTACTTACACATATACCTTTAAAAGCACCATTTTTTTAGACATTCTTCTGGTACCCACAATTGGAACTCTGGACTGCGATTTTGTTGATCATATTCGCTTGTACGCAAGGGGCAATGAAATTCTGCAGGATAAACATCAAGCCGCTTTCGACGGAACTGCTCTGTTTGGAGGTCTTGTGGTTTGGAATAAAACTGGAGGAGAATCAAACCCAACCGAGCATTTTATAGCCAGGAATGAAGTTCAATATTACGCTGACGCCTTTCACGACTATTCTATTATCTGGCAGGAGGATAAAATTGCCTTTAAGGTCGATGGGGAGTTTTTCGGAGCCATAACCAATGCAACGCTTCTTAAGGCATTCAACAAACACGAGGTAAAGCCATGTTTAAAAGTTATTATTGTTTCTTATTTTTTTCATGTTTTAGTGTCATATAGTCCTGGGCCTAACTGCTGGAGGAAATGTTAATTTCAATGACGACGTCCTGGAGATGAAACAGAAACCCTTTTCAAACACTCATCCCAAAGCGGACAAACAATTTGAGGAATTGTCAAATAACTCCAACTGGACGCCATTGGTTGTAGATTACATCCGCGTCTACGCAATTGACGAGAACAGGAAATAATCATTCATCAGTTTCGAACATAAAAAAAAATATATGTATGTATCTAACATTTATGTATGTGATATGATTAGATCTAACTTTCAGACCCCATTCAAGCTAAAGAATTGGTCATTAAGAGTTCCAAATCTAAGCGCAAATATGAAAAGATACTGATATACATTTTTTGCGCTCTTAATTAATTCAACAAGTTTTTAAATCTTTCACTTATTTACATTGGAAATAAGAGTTGTTTGATTTACTTTAAACTTAATACATAAATAAAAAATCGTTCCTGAGTGATTTTAAAATTTTCTTTTATGGCAATTCACACCCGATCATGATCTTTTCTTAGAGCTAAAAAGTTTTGCCATTGTTCTTTTTGGAGCCGTTATTACGCGAGTTTTGGTTGGATTTCTTTCGGCGCTTATCTGACGACCAGTCCACGTCGTCCTCGTCATCAGTGCCTCCAGCATTTCCCGCGGAGTGCAGGTGGGCAGATGAGGCGCCCTCTTTGGTGGCCAGACGGCGAGAGGCGATCCGCGATGAGATCCTACCCATGCCCATGCACTTTTCCAAATGCGGAGCAAAACGGGCAGCGGCCACCAGACGATCACAGTTGGGACAGGTGCAGTCCATCGGCTTCTTGGCCGTCGAGATGCCGAATATGTCCAGGTTTGGCATTTCGCAGATACGATAGGTCGAGTCTTCCGGCACACCGTCCAAGGCGGCCAGATTTCCCGATTTTCGCAGGTGGTGTGTCTCGATAAAAATCCCGGCAACGGCGTCATCGAGCAGCGTTTGGTACAGATAGTTGGCCGCCTCGTCGAGATTCTTCGGGTCCTTTATCAGCTCCCGGAAGTTGCTTATAATGGTAGTGCTGGTTGTGGGAACTTGATTTCCCGATCCCTGAGCTCCTGGCGTTGTTGGCATATTGGCTGCAGACATAATAGTTGACGCAAATACTTAATTTAATTGATTCTAGTTTACTTCCTGCCTGCGTTGGAAGATTTTTTTGGCATGTCGGTTGTTGTTGGTGAAATATGTAAGTTGTTAGTTGTCAATTTGTTTATTCTACATGGCTGTTTGCAGAACTAGCGAGTTGCCAGATGGCCCGAGGGTAATATATGGAGGTACACATTCTGGTAATTAAATTAATTTGATTTCCTAGTTTTTCATAGTATACACTTTCTAAATAATGTAATGCATTTTAGAATCTCTATTTAATCGAAAAAATTATAAATATTGATTATGAAAAATTAGTTTGTTAAACTTAGATCTATCAGTGAACTAGTTTTTTTTAGATGAACACAGTCTGGCCCGCTTTTTTCGGCTGCCTTGGGAATTATAATATCCAACCTGGTCACTCTGAGCAATAAAGTAAATAAATTACCAATAATAAATATCTGTATAAGATGTTGCTAAATAATAAAGAACTTATATATAAACAGCTGGTGGAAAAGCTGTATGACAAATGTCAAAGGATACAGGCGGAAAATGAGCGGTGTGTGATGAGGTAAGCACAAAAATGAGTTCTCTGCAAAACGTAAACAAACGTGCTCGTCTCATTTGCCAGGGTAAACGGAATCAAAAAGATAGTCAGAAGACGCAATCATGATGTGGAACTGCTAAAGAGGCGATTGGACAAGCATGGAGACAATTGGCGCTCAGTGCCCATGGTGGCACCTCATCCCAAAGGAAAAACTGAACAGAAACGCCGGGGGCCTAAACCCAAAAACAAACAGGGGACGGATGAACCAGGAACACCCGGATCTGGCCCAGGATCCAATCCTCCAGCAGCTCGTAAGCCGCGAAAGCAAAAAGCCAAGCAGCCATTAGGCAATTTCCAACCAATCATCCCGCCTCCACAACCACAACCTCATATAGGAACCTGAAGCCTTACTATAAATTCTATTTTAAGAGTCACAGTTAAGATTATTATATTGTTAAGGTAAATAAAAAACATATACTAAAAAAAATTACAACAGCTTAAACAAAGACTGTTGGGTTTGTCACAGAAAGGTTCAAGATTTATCTTCGCTTCATACAATATTAAATAGTTTTTGTTAGTTCATGTCAATTACGAATTAAATACTTACATTTTTAATATTATTTTTTTTAAACATCTGTAAATAATGAGAGCGCAATAATTTTGTATCAATTGCATACGGAAAATACTTTGGTTTTAAAATTACATATATAAAAAAAATATATTTAAATGAATATCATATTGGGTCCACAACATTGTCTTATTACAGAACTGGACATTCGTGACTCATCCGTATGTAGAGATAATAAGCCATAGAATATTTTTCTATGTGGATCTGAGAAGTAATTCTACCTTTCACGGTATCTTTGTAGATTGTCGTTACTGTAGAGTTACTTATCAGCTTCTCATACTACTGAACCATGAAAAAGCTGTGCATTCTCAATCACTGGTTTAAACTTATTTATATTTTGAATGTACTTAATTGCTAGAACAGAGAAATTTAACGGACAGGGCTTCGCATCTTTTATTCGGCTTGGCGGAGACGAGCCAGTCGCTGAGTCAGCTCGTCTTGTTCTTGGGATACGGCCGTGGAAGCACCAACCGACTGGCTTTGGACTCCGCTAGGCAGCTCCATGTTGAGCTCGAGGCCAGCCTCGTCGGCCACTTGCTGTAATAGATTGTCGACATCTCCCTGGGGAACTGAGGTGGTCACCGTGTCGGACATGGTGCCCTCCATTACGGAGCTCTGGACGTCCAGGTCCTCGAACTGCGATTCAAACTTCTCCATCAGCGAGGAAATTTTCTCCAGGTTCATTCCCTTCATGGCTGCGTCCATGGCTTTGACCACACCGGCCATGGAGCCAGTGACCTTGCGGGTGGTGAGGGCAGATTGGACCCTGCTAGCGACTGCGTCCACCCGGGCACTCATCCGCAGGTAGTTAACCGCTTGGTTCTTTTGGCGAATCGCGTTTTCTGCATGGATGCGGGCCACGTCCATGTTTCCCTTCTGGATTGCCTTCTTGGCCTTGACCTTTTCCAGCTTCTCCTCCTTTTCACATTTTTTCGAGTTTCTCTCAAGTTCCTTTACGGCAAACTTTAGATTAAAAAGGTGTTCTACGGGCGAAAAAAAGGGGTTGGTTATTGCAAACTCTTTGTCTGGCGTCATCGCTCTGCTCCACTTACTTTCCATGGAACTCGTAGACATGTCGTTACCCAGCTTGATGAATTTTTACTAACGAATGAAGAAGCGAAAATGGTTCTGGCAGTTGGATTGCAACTGGAACGGTGTAATTTTATCAATTTACGTTGTTTTTATTGGAGGATTTGTATGAATCACTTAATTGGTGTGACCAGACGTGGGAAATACCCAATTAACAGCTGTTTCACTGATTCTTGTGCTGTTAGACGCAAGGTGTTGTGCTGTTAACTATTTGAATTTGACAGTTACTATCTATGGTTACGTTAAAAAATATAAAGATTATACTTTTTAACAGTAATCAAAGAACTTTGGGTATATTCTTTTTCAAACACCTTTTAAATGTAATAACAATGTCCTAGAATTTTAAAAACAGAAATATCTCACAATTTTTGCAGATTTTAATATTTTATGTCGGTGAGTTTGAATTTAAGGGGAATATTAGGCTTGTACACAAATGTGCACTTAAATGGGTACTGTGTCGAGTAGTTAAATTCAATCTGGAAGTTGCGAACCAAGTTGGCCAACGTTAGTTCAAGCTCCAGATCCACAATCCTTTTGCCCACGCACATACGAGGTCCAAACCCGAATGGTAGGTAAATAAAGGGATTTGAGTTCTTGTTCAACAGGATATCTGAATTTTCTTCGTCCAAACCCTTCTGGCGCAACCAACGTTCCGGAATGAATTCCGATGCGCGAGGGTATAATCTCTCATCCTTTAGCAAAAAGCTGTTGATCATGAGTAGATTAGTGCCTTTAGGGATTTGATAACCGTCTAGTACAACGTCTGTCCCAGCGGACCGGGCATTTCCGAAGGTGACTGGATATAACCGCAGCGATTCCTTGATGAATGCCCTTAGATATGGAAGAGATTTCATATTCTCCAAAGTAAAATCTTTATCTGTCGACGGCAGTTTGCTTAAAACTTCCTCCCGGAGTTTTTGCTGTTTTTCAGGATTTTTGGCCAGGTTCAGTAGTAATCCCACTATAGCCGTGCTGGTTGTATCTACTCCTCCCATTAGCATATCCATGGCCAAGACAGTGGCGAACTTTCTATCGATTTGCAGCAATTGCTCCAGAACACTCTTATGATCCTCTGAGTTCCTTTCAAACGATTTCTTGTCGATCCTTTCTATCGCCTCATTTACGTACATCGAACAGGTGTCGAAGATTTCATCCATGGCCTGACTGAATTTCCTATAAGTGGGCGTGGAAATGTACTTGTATATCGAGGGTTTAACACCGAGAAGGAAAAACGAATCCATTAGGACTTCAATATTGCGGAAGAGTTTCTTGGCCTCGGGTGGCTGATTGGCCACCTGGAGAAGTCCCAATTCCTTATCAAGGGCCACAGTTGCAACCGATTCGAATGTAAGCTGGTTGATGGTGCTTAAAAAGTCACCGGGAACTTCACCTGATTCCTCGTTGCGAAGTTCTCGGATGCGGTTCACAAACTGCCGATTCACCCGCTGCATTGGTTTCAGATAGACTGCCACATTACGATGCTGCATCAAGACTGGATTCACTGCACTCCTTAGTTTACCCCACTGAGGCCCACTGGAATGGACAGAAATTATGTTAGTAAGTCAGCTCTTTCACAATTTCAATATTTTTAAAGCTCTGCCCAGAGTAAATAAATGCACCTTTTACTCACTTGTTAAACAATCCCACACAGTCCTTAAAGAACTCATCCTTCCTATTATTGCGGTAGTGGAGGACGGGTTCGGAACCCCCTCTGACTGGCCATTGACCTTCGGTGCGATAAACTCTCTCAAAGGTTTCCTCATTGAATGTGAACACAGTGGAGGGCATGCCAAATAATCCGGGAATCAAACATATGTCACCGAACTCCTTTTTGTACGAACGTATAACATCATCCATTCCCATTTGATGGTACTGCCCTCCCTTTTGAAAACCGCGGAATAATTGCCACCGTGTCGGTCCGGGAAGTTCCCCAAAGGGTTTTGCGGTTTCCCATTCCGACTCCAGCTGCTGAATGTATGAGGAGGACTCCGAACTTCTGTTGGCAGCAAGCTGGGAGCTGAATCTCAAGCCGTGCCTCACTGTAAGACGCAACATTGTTAAGATCGCTCTGTCGAATGACTTTCTCAATGGTAAACAACAAAACTCGACAACTTATATTCAAAGCTTTTAAATAATTACACAAGTATTGGCAACAAATGAGAGTGCTTTTCCTTATCTTTGGGCTTTTTTCCAAAAGCTTTGCTCTTGAGATCGCGGCTGCTACTTTTGTTTACAAACAATTTTTGTATAATAATCTAAGCATCAACCATCACTAGACAACTAGGTAGATACGATTTAAAGATACCAATTTAAATGATAACAAAATGAAACAATATTACGGTGGCCAAAATTGATTTTGCAATATCTATTTTTAGTATACAGAAAATATCAGATATATCCCCCTACAACATATAAACAAGATCAGATGGGTAAGCTCATTGTAAGTTAAAAACGCTCTTTGTAGCTAACAGTTTTTAAAGTAATAATAATTAGATTATTAAAATTCCACGCTTTTACATCATAGATAAAATATAAGTGGCTTAAATTTGGTTTCCCGACTAAGCTAATTTTCCAATTTTGCTGTTGGACTTAAAAAAGAATTGAACGGGCAGTTTCCAACCCACACCACTGTTTTCGCCTGCAATCAATAAAATATGAGCCTCAAACGCTTGCATTGGAACAGAGAGGACAAAAGCAAAACGCATTTTATGTGCATTTCAAAAACAATAAGCCAAAACAAAAGGGCCAAATCGGCCGAGCACACAAACACCAGAGCGTACGGTTAAAACCGAAACAATAGGACGAGGGGTCCATTGTTTTGGCCAACTTTGGGCAGTACTCGAAGCTACCCGGACACTCAAACCAATCCCAACTGACCACCAGAATGTATTACATATTAAGTCTGATAACACGTTACCGGCTTAAATTATAGACCAGATCCTTTATAGCCACAGTCACGCCCCTAAGACCACCCGCCCAAAATAGGTAGTATACGTAAACATCAATTTGCCTCTACTGCCATATATCCAAGGGGGCTATATGCTCATACACCAGGTATCACTGTCCTTCAACAGGGCTGAAACTTTAGTAGGTGTGTTTTGTCCAGTTAAATTTATATTAAGTGAGATTTTCAATTTACGCCCATTCAATGTGTAAAAACTGTTAATTCTAGGTTCTTACCTTTTTTATACCCGTTACTCGTAGAGTAAAAGGGTATACTAGATTCGTTGAAAAGTATGTAACAGATAGAAGGAAGCTCTTGCGACCCTATAAAGTATATATATTCTTGATCAGGATCAATAGCGAAGTCGATTGAGCCATGTCCGTCTGTCCGTCCGTCCGTCCGTCCGTCCGTCCGTCCGTCCGTCCGTCCGTCCGTCCGTATGAACGCTGAGATCTCAGGAACTATAGCAGATACAAAGTTTAGATTAAGCATAAAGATTCTTGAGGTCCCGGGACAGCGCAAGTTTATTACAGCATCCTGCCACGCCCACTCTAACGCCCACAAATCGCAAAAAACTAAAATTGCTGAAATCTCAGGAACTATTGCAGTTAGAAAGTTGAAATTCAGAAAGTATAATCTTTAGATAGCAGCGCATCTTATAGTGGTACTACTATCCGGCCACACCCACCCATACGCCCACAAGGCTCAAAAGACGGTTTTCGGATTTTCTAGAAATGCTGATATCTCGGTAACTATAAAAGATAAAAAGTTCGGATTAAACATGTAGGTTTCTATGATGCTCCCAATGCGAATTGTTTTTTTCCGATCAAGCCACGCCTACTCTAACGCCCACAAATCCCGAAAAACCAAAAATGCAAAAATCTCAAAAACTATAAGATCTACAGAATTTTGCTTAAAAACACGTATTTAGGAGATGCCTCTGCAATTTGCCACGGAGTTGCACCCGGCCACGCCCACTCTAACGCCCACAAACCGCGGAAAACTGTGGTGTCTATAATATTATTATAAATGCCTTCGTTTGACCTTGTGTAACTTATTTCTGTTAATATCTATCGATTTACCAAAGATTTTTAAAATCGGAACATTATTTCGCTATTTATAAAGAAATTAAAGTTATAAGGCCTCACATGGGCGGTGACGTCACTATAAGCATACTCAACATACTTCCTCTGACAATAGGTGGCGCATTGTGAAATTCCACTAACAAAATAATATTTTAAAATTTTGTAAAACAGTAACGGGTATCTTATAGTCGCGGCACTCGACTATAGCGTTTCCTCTTGTTTTGGTAATATATTAAGGTGAGAATAGCTATATACTTGAAGCTCTGCTAGCAAATAGATTTCATTTTTATATCAAATAAATAAATAATTTGATTACTCCTATATAATCAGGCTCGTCTTTAGTTGTTTTGATAAAGTGCTTAGAGAAACAATGCAAATTACAAATCCTAGCTTAGGGAAGTAGCCACCCCTAAGCTTGTAGATATAAATTGTACACAAATTACACAATTGACCGCCGAACCAGCCGCAAAACTTTGGCAAATTAACTGCGACTGTGGCGCAAACACATAAAAAAGTTTGCACATAAATTTTGTAAATTATTATAAATATTGTTTGGACCACGCAAGTTGGCCAGCCTGGAAATAAAATATACACTTTGTATAGAATGAACAAAGTACATTGTTCTAACTAACCATACATACATGGGCGTGTGGCCTAGTCACAAATAAAGAATTATCTAAATAATTCCATTGTATTTTTATGATTTACTAGAAGGTATAGTAATAGTAGCAATAATATGCTAAGTTAGAACCTCCCAAAAGCCATTTAATATATTTCATCAATAGTGAAAAGTTAGTCCATTAAAGAGGAAAACATCCTCTTTTCATTCAACAATTACTGACCCAAATCGCTGTCAGCCCACTCGAAGGGCTTGCATTAATTTGCAATAACTCTTCCATTCGCCTGTCATAATCGAAATCTAGCCAAACTGTCACTTGAGTGGAAATGCTTTGACATTATCATAACTGCATCAGATGTTCAATAATTTCTCCCTTTAGTCCTTTTTTGCCGCCTGCACTCTTCAAATGGAATCTGCCATGAAGACACCTAGAGACCAAAAGCAAACAGCCGGATAGCTATCTCCCATTTTATTTTTTGCCGACTTTGGCTCCATCTTTTCCTGCTCTTTATCACGCGCCCAATTTACCACCGGGAAAGGGGCTATAGCTATAGCTATCCAGATCCCACAATCGGGGCCCAGACAGTCTCAGTCCCAGTCCCAGACCCACCCATTTTCAAGTCCACAGCCAAAGGCAACCAAGAGATTAAATCAGCGCAAAGTGCAAACACTGTGTCAAGTGTAGACCAAGCGCCAAGAACCCGACTAAAAACACACGCCATCGATATGGCCATGGTTGTTGGAAAAAAACGACACACACTCACAAAATAAAACGGATAAATGTCAATCAAATTAACTGGCAATGCGATATGCAGCGATAGTGGGACAGGTAAGCAAAAGGGAAGTCGTTCTCTTAAAGACACTTCTCTTTCCTAGCAATAAATTAACTCGAGGAGTTCTTTGGAGAGAACTTGAAGTAGGGATTCGGAATAACAAAACATTGATGGTTACTATTTGGCATGAACTAAAATGAATAGTGTGCTTAAGTCTAGTCAGTTGTAAAAATAAATAATGGTAGTAAGTAAAACATTTTAAATGAAGTTCAATTGTTTTTAGAATCTTTAACATTTTATTTAGAAGGTGGTATAATACACAGGTTAATGATTTCTGAATAGTTTAATTTAAATTTTACATAAACTTTTATTGATTAAAGTTAAGCCAAATGTACTTAAAACAATTAATTATTATACTTTAAACTTTTGTAACAGCAGCAATTTATGTGTTCTCCCAATCTTATTAATCGATTTACGTATTCCCCTTTCCCTTCCCTTCCCTTATAAAAGTTAACAATTTACCTTTTTTGTATGGGGAAATTCCAAAAGTGATTACACACCTTAAGCTCCCAACCATATGGGTATAACTTACTAATGAAGACAACAAAATCAACACGAAGAACGCGGGGCAAACATTAATTATTGCAGTTTTTTATTTACTTACAGTGAGCTTCGTTGTTTGCACAGAACTAAAGACAAACAAATGTGGAAAACACAGAGTAATTAAGTTGCATATCAGGGAGTGAAAGGGAAAACTTTGCTAAATGTCTGTAAACAGGAAATAGGGCAAAAAAAACGCTAGACTGTGCCTCTGTGATTTTTTCAACATTTTAAATGCTTTTGCAACGAAGTTGCTCCTAGCTAGTGGCAACAATTTAAGGCGCATTAACTGCAGGCAACAGGAAACCATTTCAGATATTCCTCTGATAATTACAAACAGACAGTTGAGAGTCAATAGAGTCCTGTTTCCTGACTTCTCCCCCTGCCACTCCCACCGAGCTCAGTCAGTCATCAATCGAGCTCTCCATCCGATGACATGATTCGCCGACGGCCACGCCCCTTGGCATACCATAAACCATCGATTGTGGGTCAAATTGCGTTGATGCGACATGGGGTCTGGGAGTCTTGGGCCTCTGGCCCTCCGGGATGAATGGCAGTCAACAATCGGAGCGGCATCTTCATTATTGGCATAAGCCACGAGTAATTGCTCGATGGTGGTTACTCGACTGTTCAACCTTAACCAGATTTGAAGTCAATCGTTATTAGATGTTTACTTTAAATCTATCGTTACGAATTATTTACTTCATGAAAACATTGTTTGTTATATATTTTCCTGTTATAATAATATTATATTTGAATAATATATAGTGCATTTTATACACATTATAGTGTAAAGTTTCCCAATTTATTTACTTACTAAAAAGGATATAACAAGTTTAAAGTAATAAAACCAAACTAAATAAGTTCCATTATTACTCTTCCTAATTCTTTATTAATGAAATTTTGCCATCAGCTTAATTTCCCTTTCCTATTCTCTCCCACAATAATTAATTCATTAGTTGCACTACCCAATTTTGCTACTAATTTTTGTGCCAACAAATCTGTCAAATGTGTGTGTGTGGGTGTCCTCAGCAATTAGCTGAAGCCCTGCTGAGAACCATCTAGGCTTAACACGGACGACTAACACCCCGTTTCCCATTTGCCGCCATTGCAGATGCATTGCACTGACGGATAAAGTGGGTTGACGGTGGGTGGTGTGTGTAGAAGTCTAGTGGGTGGGCTGGGTTGTCTGACTTAAACCGCCTGTTTTGGGGGCGCTGCACGGCACGACATAGTTCCATTAAACTTTCCACGATAACGCGCCAAACTTTGCGCCCAGCAAAACTCTCAGTAATTTGCAGGAAGTCAGAGCCCAGCACGCTCCCTTGCTACCACAAGCCGATGGGAACCCCCCGGCCATAAGTTAGGCCTTGCACTAATCAAGCGCTGCATATCAGACCAAAGGCGAGGCATTGCTACTGCCCCACTGAGGCATTTATTAATAACGCGAACTTTAAATAACCCAGCAGAACTTAAGGCAGGACTGGCCTGGAGAGCCGGCTTCGAGTCGACTTCTGCCTCGACTTTTCAGCATGTCTTGGTTTGGCTCACAGCGGTTGCCTGATAATTGCGCATACGCCACGTTGTCGGCACTGAATGCCAGGGGCCACGGGTTTCGAGCGCTTGTCTGGCCATTTTCGGAATATCCGCCATTCTGTGGCCCATGCTTTGGGTAGTATGTTTTTTGGGTTGGCGGATATCCTGGTCGTCGGGGGCTAAAAGGAACTAGAGTTAATTGCTAATATTTATGGCAGGTGTTCCGATTTTAGCTATAAGTGCAACTTAGTAGTGTTGAAATTTTAAAAAGATATAAGTAAGGGTCGAAGCCGAGGTCTTGTAGCCACTGTATTAACTAGTCTTAAGTAGAAAATGTTGTTTATGTGATCGATGTGAATTAACATTTTAATTATGGAATTTTATGTAAAACCATAAAATTTTAAAAATTAAAAATACCATAAAGTGTGTGAGAACAACCGATTGTTTAAGTACATAAAACACTTTAAAATGACATTATACATTAAACTACATTTTCTCTCTTTAATCTTATTATAAAAGTGTGCCATTTTGAGCTGTACAAGATTATTTATTATTTAAAATCATTTATTTATTTATTTAATTCCTTTTGAAGTTCTGTTGATCATAAAGGTTTGTCATTATAGGATTGTTTAAAAAGAGATTTAAAGAAGTTCTACTAAGTAAATATGTAAAAACATTACAAATGTTTTTAAAGAAAATCTGTTTTTCTTTTTGAGAATGCTGTAGAAATTGTAAAATTTGTATTTAAAATTAAAATATAATTTTTTGAAACCGAAACCTGAACTTTATAAAGTCATAAAAAGAACTTCTATATCAGAATATGCTAGCACATCGTAACTTATTTCGGTTTTGAGCAGTTTGTTGTTTGGCCAATAACTGCAGTGAATTCGCAGATGTTTGTTTGGGGTGTTGGTATTGTATTATTATTACGGCACATGTTGCCCAGATGCCAGAGCCGGCTAAAACGCTGGCCTTATTCGGACCAAGGGCCAACTTGGCTCGCTAGTGCTATCAATCTTTCGCCATGTTTTTTCATCACTTTTTTTTGGTTTGTTTTTTTTTTTGTTGTTGTTTGGCTTCCTGCCAAGTTGCATTATCGTAAAATGGAATTTAGAATTTTCGTAGCACTTTGCGGGAGCTCAGGCTGCTTCGATTCGTGTCTGGTTCGAGGTCTGGGGTCCTTTGAGTGACTCCTGCGACAGCTTTGACCAGTTGATTGTAGCTGCAACGGAGACCCCTAACCCTTTAACCCCTGCCCTGTTTCGTGAGTCATTTGCACTTGCCACCTGTGATCCCTGTCTGCAGTTGTTCCGATGTTGATATTTTGGCCAAAAACATTTCTCAAAAGAGTTCAACACGAAAATTGGCCAAAAAGGGGCAGCAGGAGTAGAGCGACCAGACAAGCCACAAACAGCAAAAAAACAGACAAAAAAAAGGAAAACTTGATAGAATCTTCCGACACTCCCTTTGCTGCTTTTGTCACACTTTCCCGCGTCTTCGCCCGATTTCCCCCATTTTCTCGACTGAGTTTGCCAAGTTTGTCGGCTTGCAGCTGCATTACATGTGGTTGGAGCGGAGCGGCATCGACAGCCGTTGCAAGCTCTTGTTTGTTATACTTGGCGAAAGTTTGCCATCGGATGCAGGGGTAAGTGTTGCCGCTGAGGGGCCGAGGGAAGGGGCTTAGCAGGGTCTTGCGGCAAGGATATCTGGGCCTTACTTTTACAGACTGTTGCATGCGCTGCAAATCCGAAAAATCCTTGAAAAAGATTTTTTAATAAAATGTACGAGGTGTGTTCAAAAAGTAAGGTGACTCTTCAAATTTCGCGAATTTCAAATTTTTCGATTATCGATTTTTTTGTTTTGTTATATTGGTACACTCTTCCCTAACATCTGTACCAAGTTTCAATGGAACATCCTCTTTTGTTTGGTTGTGAGAGGCGTAAAGTTACAAGTTATTTTGCGAGCTCGGCGATTTTTTGCTATCGAAAAATATGGATCAAAGGATTTGGATTTTTTGGCCAAAAACAACACCACAATAATGCCTCAGCCACCATATTCACCGGATTTGGCCCCATGTGACTTTTTCTTGTTCCCAAAACTGAAGATAATCGAAAAATTTGAAAAATTTGAAATTTGAAAAGTCACCTTACTTTTTGAACACACCTCGTATAACTTCTAAAAGGTTTCGATAATCGAAAAATTTGAAATTCGCGAAATTTGAAGAGTCACCTTACTTTTTGAACACACCTCGTATGCTTAAATGTTTTAATCAAATACTTTAGTGATCATGTAAAATACCCGATTTATATAAAGATGGTGAATTGATTCATAAGAGTCATATTCTTTAATCTTTCGTCTAAAATCATACTAAAAAATGTTCTTTACCTACACAGATTAATTAAAATGATTTATAAAATGAGTTTTCTAAAGTCACCTTAAATGCTTTTTTATCCTAAAAAATCTTCTACCTTCCAGATACTGATTTAAAGTACCTACTTTTAAAAAAATTACATTAGTCAACTAATACTCAAGTTGAATGTCAAAAAGACCTACCTCTGATCACGCTCCAGGATTCCCTTCATCGGTTGTCCGAAATGTCCTAAACAACTTCAATATGCAATTTTCTTCGACTGCCAACTTTTTGCAGCCTCTTAGTCAGGCCGCAAACTTTTCTAATAACCTAAGATACTTGCAAACAGACACGCAGAGGAGGTTTTTGGGGTTATGGGAGGGGATGACAGAATAATATGTGCTACCAGAAAAATTGCAGGGCAAAAAGAGAAGGCCAAACACATTCCGTCGATGTGAAGGCATATCAAATTGACGCGTTGTTTCAAAAACTTTCAAGGAGAGAAGCATTAAATTTGCGAAAGTAAATTTACAGGGCAAGTTAGTGGGAGAGTGAGCAAGTGCATACGTGATATATTATTTCGCATTACGCGCAAATTGAAAAGCTCAATGATATAAAAAACAAGAAAAGACCAATTCCAAAGGGAAATAAAGAACGCAAAATATTCCGCTAACGCAGGCGAAAGTGTGTAAAAGGAGTGGGGGGATACGTAAGTTTAACTGCCTTTCATCCCCGGCCCCACCACTCAGTTACGACTAACTGTAAACTGAGATATTTCTAGTGAAGGACAGAATATAGAATGCCCTATTGTGTTAGTTTATTTGCACAGCATAAATTTATGAATCAATTTTTTAGTGCTGGCTCATAAAAATTCAAATAAATAAATTTGTGCAGAAGCCATTTTTGTAGCCATTTTTTTTTTTTCAATTGCAGCTTGCTGATGTGCACTGAAATTGTAGGCAGTAAAATAAATGGCGAATTGATTGATTGCGCACTTGATTGATGGCGCTGCGCTTTCGCCGCTTAATGAGGAAACCATTTGGTGCGCTGAAAAGTATGCTATAAATACAGCTGTTGGTTAATCATTTAGCGGTAGCCGGTTTTTTATTTTTTATACGTTTGTTTCTGCTTCAAATAGTTAGTTTATATATAATTTTGGTTCGTTACTTAGGTTCGTTACCCGCTTTTTACTCAGATCGATTTAAGCAAAAACTTTTCGTATAAAGTTCTTTATGTTATTTTGGCAAAAAGTATTATTAAATCTGAATTGATGTCCAAACTTCTTTATTCAAATAGTATAAGTAACTAGTGTCTGTCATATTTCGGAAATTTGAGTTGCTTTTCTACGTCACATAGACAATTAAAATCCTAGCGACGACACAATATGAACTACTTAACTATTGTGGATAACTTTTTAATTCAAAGATGGATCCACAATTTGAAACCACTCAACTTGTCCGTAATGCTTCCCATGAGTTCCCCAACTTGCCATACCAAACGAAAATAACTTTCTGCGGCGCCTCCGCAGCTTTGCCTCTAATATGTCCAAAAGTTGCAACCAATTTCGAGCTGCAGCAAGGTGGTACACACTCGCATCGGTGGCTGATGCCTAATGGCCGTGATAATGCCATGACAACTGTGTGAGCATCGGAGGACTCCCGAAAGTTGCGCAGTCTGCCATGGGGAGTGTCGAATTCGTAGCCACGAAACTATGCCAAATTACTCAACAACGTTGCAACACCTGCGTGGATGTCACTGCCTCCCATTCCCAAATGCCGCTCCGAAAGTTGGGAAACTGCGAAGCAGGAAAAAGGAGGAGCTGGCTCAATTAGTTCGGACTTCTGGCCAGCAATTAGACAACGAGGAACGCTCATGCTAGTGGCAGGATGTCGTGAGAGACTCGCGACAAGTGGGATTCAAAAGGAAGGGTCACAAAAGACAGGTAATGTTCTGAATATGGAAAACTAACTTCAACGGTGATGTAAGAAAACTCATTAATAGTTCTTTCAGTTTTCAATATGAATATCTTTGAAACACATTTCTAATTTGATTTTTGAATGGAATAAGATCAAAATATCTACAACATAGCTTCGACTTTTAAGTCAAATTACAAAATGAGTGTTTGCGAAAATCTAAATTATCAATAAAAATGATTTAAATATATATCAAAATAGATGGGACCAATGGAAAATTTTTCTACGCAGGACACCAGTGGCATGCAGCACCTGTTTCGGCCAAATACACCAAAGTACACATTCTCTTACCTGTCAGGTTAAACCCTCTGGAAAAGTTCCCTTCGAGGCAGGGATAAAGATTGATGGACATAAGAAGAGAGATAGTTAAAAAGACGAGAAAGTGGCAGATAAAACGATAATCAGCAAGCTGGCGATTCTGTTCGAAACCTCCAGCAACAACCAGATCGAACCGGAGTGAGTTCCATTGAGTTCTGAAAATCCTGTTTTTACCCAACTATTCCAGAATAGTTCCACGATGGTGGAGCGGCGGAGTGGCGGGGGCCATTGCTCAGTGCTTCACTGCACCTTTCGACTTGATCGAGGCGCGAATGGTGATAGTCAAGAAGGACAGGGGTATGGCTGCCAGTCTTCAAAAAGCTATCCGGAAATATGGTAATTGTTGGGCACTCTAACTATATAAAAATACACATTTTAATATCTAAGACTCTATAGTCTATATCTGCCATTCTTTATATGTATTATTTTAATATTTTTTTTTTTTATCTCACCTAATAATATAAGATTATGCTTTCGTTCAAAAATTCCCTTGTTAGGTTTCTTTTCTCTTTATGACGGCTTAAGTGCCCAGTTGGTGAGACAGCTGACGTATACATCGCTCCGGTTTCATCTCTACGAAGTGGGTAAGGATCAGATGGACGATCCCATTGACTTCTTAGATAAGGTTTTCGTGGCGGCCTTGGCGGGATGTGTGGCCGGCGTTGTGGGCATACCCATGGAGCTGGTCAACACCCGTATGCAAGTAAACCGCGCCCTGCCCAAGGAAAAGAGATGGAATTACCGTAACCTCTTCGATGGGTTGTACCGCGTGACTAGGGATGAGGGCTGGACGAAGCTCTACAGTGGATGTCATCTCTCTTTTCTTCGGTCCAGCTTAATCACCGTCGGCCAAAATGCAGCTTATGATCAGGTAAATATTCTTCAAGGATGAATAGTTCATAATTCCTTCCTTGATTCTGCAGGCAAAGGAGATATACATGGAAATATTTAAAATGAAGCACGACAACACCTTGCTGCACCTGATCAGTTCCGCGACGGCTGCTTGCATGTGTGGGCCAATTATAAAGCCTATAGAGAACTTAAGGACCCTCAAAATGGTACACTCCCGTGGATTTTATAAAGCTTTCGCCTATATGATGCGGTTTGGACTTCGGGGACCATTTCGTGGCATGGTGCCATACCTTCTGCGAATGGTCCCCAACACGGTTGTTACGTTTTTGAGTTTCGAGCAGCTTCGTGTTCATTTTGGGTACTACGAAATCGATGATAGTTAGTGTTATTTTTCGAAAAGCCATAGGTACTTGAAATATTGTGTGTGTACCATGTATATGTCAGAAACCGATACAAGACAAATTAAATATAGATATTTTGGTATGTAAAAAGGCATGAATTATTTTCTAATTTATAATTATAGTAATAGTAAGAAACTATAAACTATATAACCAATATCATTCAGAACTGAGATCCACGAATCGCTGTTTATTTAAACATTTGCCTACCCAACCCACTCTTTCTGACCTGCGACCTCAATGGATCCTGTCCACTAGTCAAATAATTGGTCACTTCCTGACTCCTAGCCTCCGACTAGTGGTTATTTGCAAAACAATCTCGGTCGGGGCCAGCTCAAATAAGCGCCACGTGCACCTACCTTCATAAGGCATTCAATGGTATATTGATTGCACACAGAACCGACAGCAAAGCCTACACCCAAAACGGGTCAACAGTGCGTATGCGTTATATTTAATAATGCAAAACGTTGCTAGATTGCCACGACCAAAGCGCCTGCATAAATACAAATACTATGCAAATGATTTTAATGGCAAACAAAATGTGCTAGCCGAGCGACTAATAACCTGCCAAGTGGCACAGAAAACAACGAACCCACCACCTCTGACCCCGCCGTGCGCTTGTCTTCAGCCATCTGGGAAACAACTCATCGTCGATGCAATCGCAAGTCAGTCATAAACTTGGCTCTAAGCACTTATGCAAATCGTAAGAGTCACGTCTAAGTGTTAGTTTCAGCTAGCAGACTAGTCGGGACTAAACACTTGCAAAAAATAAAGGAAATCCAGCTCACAATGTCATTAGGAAATTTTTAATATGACATCCTAATATCATACAAACTCTAAATTTTTTTAGAAAAGTAGGAAAAAGTTCAATTTACATTTAAAGACGAAGAAAATCAAATATTATAAAGGCCTGTTGGTTTTCTGTGTGTGTTCCTTTTTTACTGAATGGCTATGAACACAACCTAAGACCTTTAATTCAGTTTCATTGCGTCGCATTATTCTTATTTTTGCGCGTTCCCGTCGTCCTAAAATTGCCTACTTACAAATTCAATTTCCACAATGATTGCAATCACGATTAAAGGGTAGCCGAGAGTGGGTGCGTGTGATGTAATAGCCGGAGTGTCCTCCATATGCCAGCCAGTCGGCAAGACACCCACAACAATGCCGTCCATACGTGCAACATTTACCGACGTTTACGTGACACGACACCCACACAATCGTAGCTGGAAGGATGTGCGCTGCGATGGTGGATTCCGCCAAGCGCTATCCGGGCATTGTTGCTCATACGCCTAGTTGTCATCGTGGCGGCATCTAAACTAGAACTATACACACAGCACGTGCTGGCATTTAGCCCCAACTTTGCTGGCACAACTGCGTCCTCCTTGTCAAGGAGTTGGACAAATTAATGTTCATTAGTCACGTTGCGAGTTGTAATCAATTTATAATGCGACCAGTTGTGGTTGATGTTTCGTTCGGCGGAAGGAAATGGTTCTTTGGGTCAATGATCTGGCGAATACCAAATGCTTAGAGGGCGGCTTTTATATTTTATTTTCTTAGCTTATATCTATCTTTGATTTCGTGTCTTATTTGACATGTGTAAAAAAGCAAATGGCTGTATTAATTTGTATTTTATGGTATAAAACAAATTAAAAATGTTTTTGGTGTCGTTATTGAATGGGGCACAATCCGAAGTGGAGCCTCAACTGCTCGTACATAACAAATAACAGCGTGGTGGCTGGTGCCTTTCGCACAATCGTCGGTAGCAATCCGCGAAAGGGTCCCGTCAAGCCGAATCGCATCATGTACACGGACGCGTGGTATGTATTGCGAAATTCGCCGGGCCTTGAGTTCATCATAAGAGTCTTCACCACGTCTAAGGGATGAGTGACCAAAGACGAAATGATCGATGTCACTAACGATGTCAGAATATGAAGGGGCATTCCGTCGCCTACTGAAGTATTTCCTCGCACTTCTGTTTTTATCTTAAAGTATATATCTGTTTGTAATGCAGAAAGGTAATACGTTTTTTTGTAATTTAGAAACTCACAATGTCGTAAAGTGCAATCTGACTGCAAGTGCCTAGGGTTGTCTTTACCGCCGCTACTGTTCCACCCTTGTATAGTGCCATCCAGCCCTCCTCCTTGGGAATCCTAACTAGGCCATCAAAGACGTGCTTATAGCTGGAATCGATGAGAGGGAGAAACCCTAAGATTGATGGCGGTTATTCGTTGGTTAGGCAAAAATACTTGCGTCTCTCGCCCTTAGGCACTTTCATATCGCTCTGCATCCTCACGTTAATCAGATCCGTTGGTATTCCGAATACAGCACCACTCATACCAGCCACGCAGCCCAAAATAATCTTTCCAACATATGAATGCTCCTCGACGTATTTTAGATGCTTTCCAGATTCATACACAATGAAATGGAGATTGGTAGAGGACATCTGCCTCAGGATGGTAGCCGAGAAGCCATCATAGAAGCCGAAGAATCCTGTGATCAACATTAGAAGTTAAGGAAGTTATATAAACTTAGGTGGATACCTTATTTTCCTTTTTTAATTTATGTATAATGTGGAATTATATATAATTCAGTTTATAGTTTATATTTCCAAGTACTTACCCTTCAACCTGTATATTTTTCGGATCGTGACGAGAATAGACATTTTTCTTAGCTGTAGCTGCATGTGCGTCTTTATAATATCAATCGGAGCCACTGCGAAGGAAACACAGAGGGACGAGAAGCCACCGAACCACCAGCGCGGCAATCGTTCTTCTGGCCATTCATGACATTCGTCAAGGAAATGGAATAATGGCATGCCTCCAGATAATCGACGTTTTTGATTGGGAGGCGAGGGCTTGTGTGTTTTTTAGCGTTCACGGGCAATTTGAAAAACATATTCTCGTAGCCGTAGTTGGAAATCAGCAAATATTTAGATTCTTCAAAAACAAGGACTTCTTCATCTCATCGTTCTTACATTGATTTAGGAATCCCTGAGTTATTCCACGTCATGTCTTAATATATAAAGTAAGGAATTCAAATTGATTGGCATCCAAATTTAATCTTCGAACTAAAAATTTTTGAAAACTGACAACTTTATAAACGACTAATTTATAAAATTAAGAATTGTTAATAAAACCTTTTAAAACAACAAAGAGCATTATGGATGAATGCAGTGCAGTACCCATAACTCTTATATTTATCAAATTAATATTTTCTACAAACTGTCGAGTATGTTTTTTTAAAACTTGCATAATTAATCCCAACTCTCCACTTTTCTCAGATTTAGAGTTACAAACCTGATCAGGAATATAGGTACCTTATAAGGTCGGAAATGCTTCTTTATGCCTTACAATCAGGTATGTTTAAGCAGAAATGTACTTTAAACATTAGTGTCCTATTTTGGTAAAGTCTAAAACTTTTTTGAGGATATGTGCTTTTTAAATTTTGATTTATTTGTCAGCAATGCTAGCTTTCTTTACTCAACACCAAACTATACTTAGGCTTCCAATCAAGTACTCATTGTGGATGTATTCTGCAGGAGGCAAACTTCAATATCTGCTGGCTGCTGATAGGAAACATCAACTTCGCACTCAACTTTTACCTTCAATGCATTTTAGCAGCGAATACCCACTGGACACCGCCCATCGGAGGACAGTGGCAGCTTATAAATCTAAACAAGCTCAGTTGCCCAGTTGCATAAGTTTACAGTTACGATTCCAGCACACTCGATACCCAGCAGGATGGATACCCCGATGCGACCCGCTGCATTCCAGTAGGTCTCCAACGACATTCTTCCAACGAAACTTTTCGTCCGAGCGGCTTGGTCGTGCGCACCCTTTTACGCCTCTGCCCGGAGCACGTACCTCCATCAGTCCATCCGGCCGTCCCCCTATCCACCCGTCTTTTTGCACACCTGCCCAATCACCTGTGGGGGCTGCAACAGCCATCAACCCATTCGCACCACCCGCCAAGCCCTCAAAATGGTTTCACCGCTCGCTGTCCCGATGACATAATAAACGAGGTTACCAGCAGCGAACTTGCTCCTCTACTTTGTCCTGCCCAAAGTTCTCACTTCCACATCGAGGGCATACCCTTCCAGCAGGTCCGTCAATTTTTAGTGGGACTTAAAAGCTATGAAGCACCACTTTATGGTGACTATAAGAATAAATTCGATGACTATTTGATTTCAACCTGATTTATAAATTCGAAACAAACCATAGTAAACTTTAATTTATTTATTATAATTAAGAAAAATTCCATTAGTGTCAATGAGTTTTCGAGTTTGAGTTAAATCTGTAAAACTAACATAAAATTAACCATTGAGATATTGAAAATGAACATATAGAGTATTCTGATTTTCGGGCCACTCAAATATGATTTGATTCCACCTTTTTTGCTATGGCTCTCCAGCTAATGTCGGACATTTGTCGCTGTCCTTGCAACCCATCCTATTTTGCATACTCGACACGCTCTGCAGGACCTTTGCTGGTGGACCTCCACTCCATTTCCCCGATTACCCCGATTCCTCTCCACTTCATATGCATTGACAAGTTTTTGTCACGTTTTCGGTGGCGCTGGAAATTCGAGAAACTTTTTCGCAACACGCACTTATCAAAAGTGGCTTCGACTTTTGTGCCAAAAGAGTAAATGAGGCGTCTTCACCAGCACGTGAGGTTGAGGGTGAACTAGGGTAAAGCGAGGAAAGAGGATAGGGGCCATGCACCTGACCAGGCCCAACTAACTTTTCTAATTAAATTCTACAAAAATAAACCACAACACACATTCGGCCGACAGAGGAAGCTGAAAAGGCAGTTGGCAACTTGACACTCGCTTATCATTTCCGTTTCCGGCAGGCAGAGCGGACAGCCGTATGACGTCCGCTGTCCTCATTTTACACGATATTTGTAAAAGGAAAAAGTATTTTGTTTTTTAATGCACTCGAAGAAAACGTAAATGTATCTCAATGACTCTAAATGAAATTTCCTTACTTAATTTCCATCCATTTTATAAAGGCTTTCATTACAATATTTGTGTATAGAGCAGCATAGATTTATCGTATTATCCATTTGTGGCAGAGTGATTTAAGATTGATTGATCGATTTTCGAGTGATTTATAAAGACGAACAGAAGCGGACCTATTGAAAATCAAATATATGTAAACTCCACAGACAATCTCATTATTATAGGTGAGTCAAGCATCCCGAAAATGGTCAGAGCTCTGTGTAATAATGTTTAATGTTTTTGAGGCGTTTTAGCCAATGGCAGCATAACACTCCTCACAAAGATTACCCGGTACTTTATGGTCGTGATAGTCCAATACAGAGTTTTTCCTTGCCACATTTGCAGCTTTTCAGGACTTTTGTATAATGAGAGAGGAGGGCGACAAGGAGCAGAAGGTGTCGAAATGAGGGAACATTTTAATTGTCAACGCCCAGAGTGTTTAAGTGGCCCGAGAATGCGATTGCAGCTGGGTAATCATTAATTGGCATCACCAGAGGGCGACAAACTCTTTTTCGCACTCCCACCCACTCACACATGGCCTGATGGATTGTGCTTAATTGCAATTCATTTGATATTGACACTTTCGAGTGGCTCTTGTCCGGTCTTCTGGTCCTGCCTACTCGAAGACGCGCCTGGCCATGCCAAATTGTCATTGATTAATGTCAACACGACTGAACGGAGCGGAGTGGTTGAACACCAAAAGTTGTATTTTCGAGTGCAAAGCAATTAATTTTCCGTATGCACTCGAATGGAAACTGAAGAGCAGCCGCACATACGATTATCGGTTGACTGTGTACTCAACCCCTAGGTTTGGGCCAACTTCAACTAAATGAGTGGCGGATGGCTATATGTAATCGCTGGTTGGCATGCCAGCTGCATATAATCCGGCGCATTATGATGCTATGGCGTGCCCAGACTGTTTGATTTGTTTGACGATGCCCCTTGCTAAACACATCAGCAGTTCATCATGATAATCCCACGCAAAGGATGTTAAATGCATTGGCTGTTTTCGCTTGAAAGGAGCTTATATTGGTAAATTGCATACATTGATGAAAGTAATATTAAAAATATATTTATATATATACTTTTTAAGCATATATTTAAATGCTTTAAAGCTGGTGAGCTTTTATTAAAGCAGCTTTTGCCATTTAGAAAAGTTTTAATACCATGATGAACGTATCTACCACAGGAGAAATGCAATCAGTGCTAAAATTTAATTTGATAACCAAACTTACCAACGAGGAATTAGTTTAGAAAATCAGTTTACTCATAGCAGTTTTAAGAAATATATTTGGTGGCAAATAGAGTTGTAACTATAAATATTTTATACACAAAAAGTTCATTTAAGATTCAACTCCGGTCAACATTAATACAGCTTGGACATCTGATGGGAGTTTATTTAATAAAATAGTTATGCCAATTTGTTGCAATTAAAAAATACGCTCATCCCTCCACCACGAAACTTCAATTATCCTCGAGGCGGAAAGAAATGGGCCGGCTAGATCGGTTTACCTGGGTTCAAGTGGCGGCTGGAGAGTTCATTGTCCCAGCGTCAGCTGCCAACAACAGTTGGCTGTTATCCTTGCCGCTTAAGTGGGCCCTGAGGCGGCAGGACAAGGAAAACGAAGCTCCGCTGCATTCCAAATGTCAGTCAACCTGCGATTGCCGATGGCAGCATGGGCGGCAGATTTTCACTGCCTCTCCACGATTTTTCCTGCATTTGCCCGATGTTTCTTCGCTTTTCCGCAGAACGATTTCCCATCGCATGGCATTTTTCCTCATGGCGTTGCAACGTGGCCGGATGATGAGTTTTTAATGCTGCTTTGTTTTTGTCCGCCTGTCGTGTTTAGGGGACTGGCACGCAGCTTTCCCGGCTGTCAGGCTGTCGGCCCAATTTCGAAACTTACTTTCCCGGTTTACCCGATTCGCATCCGATATGCGTGCCAAACTGTTGCCAATGTGTAGGAGCGTATGTTGACGCGAATGTTTCCGCCTCCTGCCAGTTTCCGTAGCTGGACGGGGAATTGGGTTTGGGTTGTGTTAGGGTTTGGGGCTGGAAATCAATTTCTATTCGGAGTCCAGACTATGACTACATACTGTGGACTAGAAGCTACGGAGTCCGGAGTTCGACCAACTGCGCCAAACTCAAGTGAACTTAAGTCGAGCGAACGGAGTCCTAATTCATCTGATCAAGTATGCAGCAAACAGCTTGAGTTGCAGGGAAACTTTCTCATCCAGTTAATTTACATTGTAATTTCCAATTGATGTCCTTAGCGAGGAGGCGGAAAAAAAGGCACGGATTTAAGGGGGCACATAACAAGCGGAAATCCGAGAAAAGCCCGAGGATTCGGCCAATACAAATACATATAAATTGCAATTTGCATTAATTATGCAAAATTATGCGCAGTTGACCCATCTAGGCAGCCGCATGCCCCTCCCAATATTTATAAATTTTATGCGTCGTTAAATGTTTGGCCACAGTTGCCTCTCGCTCTCAACTCCTCGAGGGCTTTGTTCCGCTCTTTTGTGACCGTTCAACTGGAAATTATGCAAAACTTCAAGTCCGAAACTTCCTCCGATGGTTGTTGTTAATAAAATTGCCAGTCAAAACGATTTTTCGCATTGTCCTCTGATTGGTTTTATGACTTTTCGTAGCCTTCCACATTTTAGTATTTCATTAATTTGTTGAAGGATTTCCGACGAATTTACATGCCTCTTTATTGGTCTACGTTGAGAGAAAGTCTTTAAATGGATGCTGACAAGAAAAGTCATAAGCAATAATTCCAATATATTAAAGACCATATTTTTAAAGATATATATAAACATTCTTTAACCATGTTTTCATATTTCGATTATATTAACCGCAATTAGTTCAAGCTTAAAATAACTTTTTTCAGTATTATTGCTATTTTTATGTTTAACTAGAAAAATATTAGAGTAAAAAAGTATTTTAATTCAACATCGATTCCCTTTGCTTAGCATTCATATGATGTCATTCCGTGGCCAATCGGCGCTTCGTCGTAACCCTAATGCCATGTTGTGCTCCTTGAGCCGCTGAT